CATTCTAATCAAAGCAGATGTCTTTCTCAACCAAGAAAGAGAAAGAGAGAGAGAGAGAGAGAGAGAGAGAGAGAGAGAGAGAGAGAGAGAGAGAGAGAGAGAGAAAGGAAGAGAGAGTTCATTACTGCCGACAGTTTAATAAAAGAAATTCTAGCCTGCACACGGAGAACTGCTGCTGCTGCTGCTGCTGAGGGCGAGAGGGACGCCAAGTACGCCGAGTCTTTATTTAGTTAAATGCCGCGTGTAATTGGGTGTAAGATTCTTCTTCTTTTTTTTTTTTTTTTTTTTTGTTCGGCAAACCGGCCGCAAAATGTTCGCGTCCTGTCGCGAAACTGCGGACGGTTACGCGTAGCGTCACGCTCGAGTTTTCCACCCTTTTCCGAGGCGCGCGCAACGGCGGTGGCTGCCAGCCACCTGATGGCACAAGGGCCCACCGGGAATGAGATGCAGATTGCCAGAGGCCACTTCAGCCGCGCCAGGGGGAGTGAATTTTTAATAACACCGCGCCCCGTGCCCGCGGCGGCTCTCTCGCCCGGACGGAAGAATCCCATTGTCTTGGCCGCGTCGGAAAAAGGACGAGGCGAAATAGTACCGTACGAGATGCGTTACGCCCGACCGGTATTATTATAACGCGCTAACGTGCCGACGGGGGCGGCGGGAAGGGATTGTCAGCGACAGGACATTCCGTTGTCTTCGCGACGGGAAACCGCCGTTGCTCCGCAGGAGCACGCTTCTAAATCCTCTCCTCGCAGCCCGCGGCCACGCGCGTACATTGCGAGCGCGAGTCGCACAAGTGTTACTTTTTTCGCTTTTTAGAAATTTGTCAAATTCACCAGACGCGAATATTATATTATCGCGCTTGTAAAATATATAGATTGACGGCAGTCATCAAAATTATACCGCAAACAAATCGCCGACGATCAACAGCGAAATAAGTAGTAGCGCGGCTCTCGACAAATTTCTAGAAGACGTTCGGAAGGCGAAGAGCGATTTGAAGCGGATGGATCACGCTGCGCGTCGTGTTGATCACAGAACGCGCCTGGACGAGTGAGAATTTTAATTGTTTATTTTACGAAAGAGAAAACTCACTTGAATACAAAGAATAAAGAACATTTTTCTCTTTCAAATTGCAAATCTTACTTCAACAAATGTGCGGAGTCAGAGTTTTCCGTAAATTTTAATTGCAAAATGTTTGCGAAGAGCTTTCGCTTCGATTGGAAAAAAAAAAAATAAAAATAAATAAATAAATTCTCAATGACCTCAATCCATATTTCCATTGGACGTCGATTTAGAAACAAGCCGATCTCTCTGTTGAACAATTTTAATAAGAACATTTCCGATACAGTCAACCGATGTATACAAACCAGTACTCGACTGTATCCGTCAACACGGAGGACGTCCTAGAACGGACTGATATCGGTTATGGAAGTAGGTTACGCGGCAAGAGGGGCTTCGATCGAAATTATGAAACGATGTGGATGCTGCGGAAGAAGCAACACGGGGGGAAGAGTTCTCGCGATGTCCCACAGAGAGTCTATCTGGATAACGACATGACGTTCAAGAGGGACGCTGATAGCGCTGATTTCAACGCTCTTTATCAATTCCCCGGCATGTAAGCGACGTGATAATAATCAATATCATCGATATCATCGTAAAATTTCCAATTCCACTTGCCTTTTAGGTTGCGTATACGTTCAAACAGGTCTTTGTCGAGACAAACAATTAAAATAATTAATGAAATAATACTACAAGTTACAAAGCAATCGTTTCTTTATTTTGTTTAACCTGTAGAATAATTCTTTGATAAGTATAAAAAAGCTTTTAAAATTAGGAAAAAAACGACCGTAGTATAAAATATAAAATTAAAATTGGAATATAGACCTTTTCCAGCCTTCAAATTGCGGTTAGAGGCAAATAAATAAATAAAACAGTCAATTAGTATGTGGAACGTTTCGATCGTTGTATAATTTTGATCATCATCAGCCACTAATTGACTGTTTTATTTATTTATTTGCCTCTAACCGCAATTTGAAGGATGGAAGGTCTATATGCTAATTTTAAAAAAGCTTTTAGTTAGGTTTATAATTACTTAATCATTAATAGATTAATTGATCGTGTCTGATATAAAATTTAATTCTTCTGATAAAAAATTCAAATTGAAATAAACTTTATAAGCTACAATCTGACCGATGATGACGGTAATAATAAATAAAAAATAATTCTAATAACGTTGAAACGTTTCGATCTTTTATTTTTGATCATCTTCAGCCAATCTATATATAAATAACAACAAATTATGAAATGTGAAATCTTCTAAGCTAAATTAGCTAATTATTTAAATTGATACGAGCTAATATATCGGATGTACGTGCAAGTATAGATGTATATATTTTTTAATAAAACGTATAAGATCTGCACGAAATGCTGAAGATCTGAGCTTGACCAAAATGTTTTTTTGCAATAGAATTTCTAACAAATTTAACAATAAATTTCTACTCGTATATAAATTTCAATTTTTATAGACGGGTAAATTAGATAATTATCTAATTATATATATGAAATGCAAACTAACCATCTTGTATAAACTTTCGAATTTAATTCGAATCTTCATCTACATTAATTTAAAAAAATATATTTGCATCCGGCATATTGGCTCGTGTATCGAAAATATAATATACTTAACTATATAAATAAATTAAACTCTAATACTTAACTATATATGAACAAATCGAAACCACATTTTATTTATTTCAATTTAGATTTATAATTTTGAGAAATATATATTCTAAAAGTCAAACTGTCTTTCGTAGAACAGGCAGTGAACATTCACTCCAATATATTGAACGTATAGGTCCGATAGAGCTGTCTACGAAGAAGAAGCGATGGCCGATCAGCAACTGAAAAATTGGGCTAGAAAGAAGGATCTTCATTCCGCGAGCGACTGGTCGAATTCTAATGAGAATCCCGAAGTGACTAACAGCGAGGACGCTCGGTCTCGCGATTACGAAGCCGCTCGTGAATTTCTCGGTAATTTCTCGATGTTATAGAAATGACTCGAGCGTCAAAATCGTAACAATCACGTTCCAAAAAGTATAGGCCCAAATCACTTTCTCAGATTCGAGTAAAGATAAAAGCAAGCCGCACATCGATACGCAGATTCAACCAATCGGGTCGGTTGTATCGCTGTACGCTGATCCTATACGTACAGACTTTTCCGCTCTGAGGGAGTCTCCGGTCGCACTTAAAAACGAGAAATCCCAAAACGTACCGTTACACTTAGAATCTTTGAAGAAAACGGTGCTGGAATTGAAGCACAGTCTGATGCCGAGTAACAAAAAGAAAAACACGATCTCGAGAGGTACAATATTACGACATTGCTACTAATGTTTGTTACAATGTTATATTTCTTTCTGCAATATTCTCAGGTGAGTCCAACTGGTGGAACGATCCGAGATCGACGGTCGAGATACTCGATTTTGAGAAAGTTTCTGATTACCGTCCGGATGATGAAGCAAGGATAAAACGAGCTGCGAATATTGACGGCGAAGATGAAAGTAACGCAAAGATTTTTCGGGGAGGTGCGGGATTCGGAGAGTTTTATTTCGGACGGCAAACTTCGAGAGAATTGCACGATCGCGGAAAACGAACCAGAAGAAGTTTCGTTGCAAATATGAATTACATAAATAATCAAACGGATATTCCTGAAAATACGCGTCGTTATCAAAATGTTCAGATCAAGAACGTTCCTATAAATCTAACTACTTCGGCAAACTCCAAAGGAATCGACGTAAAATCACGCTCTAATTACCTTAATAACGGTTCGGTGCATATTTCGAGTAAGATGAACATTCTCTATTCGCGGAATCCTTCTTCAAGCGATAACTCGATTAACTTGACGGCTATTCCAGAAACGGATAACGGAAAAATTATTTCCGACCTGAGACATCCAATATATTTAGAACCGTGCTTAAACAATCGTTCTATCGCCGACGACGAATCCCTATCTCTCGTCGAGATTAATTTGCGAACGAATTCGCAAGAACGTATTATCACAGGCGACGTTTCAGAAACGAGTTCCGAATCAGTAGGTAGTCAGTTTTTCACGAACGGTCCCGTGTCAAAAACTATTCAGCGTACGTCAGAAGGGCGTAAGCCCAGTTTGTTCGGTTTCGGAAGAGATGTTCCTGTATTGAACGCGACCATAATTTCGATACATTTCTTAAAAAGCAACGATGAAGCCGATGATTTTCGGAAATTCGCGAAAAATCAAAGTAGCGAGGAGAGACTGGGATTCGCGGCGCGGAAAATATCGCGCCTCCGCGCTGATGAAGGACAATCGAAGGGCGCGGGGGTGGAATTTCCCCGGGGAAATACGTCGCGCGGCTTCGTCACAAATGAATCGCGAAGCCGCGTCGTCGAAACAACCGCGGTCGCGACAGAAAAAGAAAACGAGGCGAACGGGACGCGAAAGGAAAACCGCGAGCCGATACTCGGCGTGATCACGGTCTTCGAGCCTCGGGGGCGTCCGTATCAAAAGCAGGAGACAGAGACGGCGCCGAGATTGTACCGACGAATGGAGAAAGGCGAAAAGTCTAGGGGAAAGATAAGAGCGAGCAACGTCGGCGAATCAAGAAATGCAAATGCGAGACGAGACTCGGCGAGTTCGCCGATTGATCCCGTCACCGTTGCAAAACCGGAAACTGAGAACATAAATACGTGCGAGACCGACGAATCGATAACGCCGACGACGAAGAACCGACGCGAGAATACAACTTCGATAATTGTAGACAACGATTTGCGAAAGCAGCAACAGATGGTTCCGCCTACAAGCGCGGAGAGGAGCGGGAACGCAAATAAATCCGATGGAAATTCGGATATCAGCGGAATCGACATTCGCGCTCTCGGGTCAAACGGAAATGAGACTATGAATGTAAAGGAAGGTACTCGAACCGTGATAGAAGCTCCCGAATACGTTGAGTTCGATAATAATTTACGGAGGAAATTATTATGGATTGCCACGACTTTTGTCGAGACTGAAGATACAACGGCGAACAACACAAAATCGATTCTTAACTCATCGATCGGAATTCATATTGGAACAGTTATCGACAAGAAATATCGTTATGAAAATAAAACAAACAATTCGTCAAATTTTAAAGTGTTGAGCAGAGTCAAGCGTGAAGATGACGCTGAAGAAAATTTTATATTACAAAGTGCTCTTGATTCTCCGATTTCTAACGGAAATCACGCTCGTTACAAAAGATCGACTTATTCCGATGAAAATTTAGAAGTCAGCAACGAAGTAGGTTCCCCGAACGCGGCAGTCAGAAAGGAAGCGTTGGAAAAAATTAACGATGACAAACAAGAAGATGACGATGAAAATTATCAGAACGTCGAAGGAATTAAGGAAGATTATAATAACAGAGAAGATGACGTGATAGAAGGTACAACAACGCTAATTTGGTGATTTCGCAATTTTTTATAGCCAACAGTGATGTGATGCGTTTTTTTTTTTCAGATAATGATAAAGTGGCAGAAAACGAAAGAGCGGAGCGATCTTCGATCAGACGGAAGATCGATCCCATAAAAGCCAAAGTCGATTTGTTGATTAAGAAAAAGCTCGACAGAAAGAACGAGGAGTACAGGAGAAAGAGACGCAGCGCGTTGGACATGATCGATTATTATGATTACAACGACGATGAGGAGCGAGAACGCGACGCTCTGACAAACGAACGGCAGTCCTTCGACAACGAAGACAATAAACTTTCATTCAAAGACGAAGCGAAGATAAAGCGCGGTAAGAGCGTTAATTAAGCAAAAATAATATGTAACAGATAAAAAAAAAAAAAAAAAATTGTAGAAGAATTATAAGAAAATTTATAAAACACTGATCAGATATCGATATTTCGACTGGCAGAGGGCAAAACAATGGGTGATTTGGGAAAGAAGAAGAACGAGCACGCCGAAGAGATGATGAAACAGAAAATCCTGAAGGAGCAAAGAAAAAATAAGGAGCCGAAAGAAGAAATCGTCGTCAATGTTGGCGAACGTAAGAATAAAACTGCGAGGAACAGCGAGAACGGCAAGGATCCGGTTAGTTTATCGGGATCGAGCTTTGAGGACAGTTCGAACGAATACGAACGATCGACCAAAGAAAACTCGGAGAAGATTCGTCAAGACGAAAGTCCCACGAATGGTTATTACAAGAAAGATTTGAAATGGTAAGTTAAGATTGCTTTGAATTGTAAGCAAATTGTTAGCAATAATTATTATTATTGCTAATGAAAAACAGCACACACGCAGTTTAAGTCGATTATCTAGTTATTTTGTAAAAAAAAGATGTAATTTGAAATATACGTATGATTCTTTTAAATAAGAAATATATAAACGCGTGTGCGTGCAATTTGACATTACTGATACCAATGACCAAAAAAAACAGACGTTCGACAGGTTAGATCGATTATCCGAGAACAATATTGTGTCGCCGGAGAAGAATCCAGAATCGTCATTGAAAGACGATTACGAAGAAAAGAAACTTGATTGTTCGAACGAACCTTTGAAACACGCGTCTAAAACACACGTGGACGTAAATCCTGAAGTTATCGAAAATATTTTACTAAACATCGAGCCTTTCGATCTCGCGGAGCCAAAGGAAGAGATGGAAGTCTCCGAAAATGTTTACGATGATTTTGAGAATAAACGGTACAACTTCTATTTTTTTAAGCTTTTTAATTGTGTAACTTTTTGTCACGTACATATTTTAAATCTTACTGTAAAATAAGCAAGAAAGAATTTGTTGGTTTTTTTTTACTAAACTATTATATGTTAATATTCATGAAAATTGTTTACAGTCTTTGAAATTGCTTAGATTTAACCAGTTTATTCCGTACATTCAGAGCGGACGATCGACGTTACGAGGATTATCGGGAGAATGATCGTAGGAATTCAAACAACTTCGAACCTCTGTACGAGGAATTGAAAACCGTGTACGATTGGTCCGACGAATTAAAGAGCGGGCCTCGGCTTCGAGGCGATCAAAGACTTCGCTACGAATCGGATGATAAGCTCGAAACAAACCCTCCTCAATTGCAGCCATTCAACGATAGATTTCTCGGCTCGGATCAAAACGCGCAGATTCATTCGAACGACGCATCCTGGACGAGTAAATATCCCGTGACGGCAATCACCAAATTATCTCTCACTCGGCTTTAATCGAATCTTTAATCTGTAATCACGAGTCTATTTTTAAAAAAACTTTCTCACTCGATGTTGTTTTTTAGTTTGTTTATAGTTTGTTATTCTTTTCTACCAAGTTGCGGAAACGTAAACGTTTACGTAGGCAATAATTTACGATAACATTTTTTTTATAAAATGTTTCAGCAGGTTTAAACAGCACTCCAGTGAGCAATTATCTGGCGCTTAAAGTCACGGATGATATGTTTAAGGGCGGCTGTGAGCAAGGTGGTTCCATCGGGGAAAATTTGTCACATAAATTTTCTGTCAGTACAACCATCGGACCGTCGAAAGTACGCGCCTATATAGTAATTAATAATAATAATATCGTAACGTAATTTTCTTTTTTTGCGACAGTAGGATAAAGAAAATATATTGACACAGATTGTGGAAAACCGGATTAATCCGTTTCCCGAACAAAGTGCGAATATAGAACAGTCGGTAAAGATCGATAAAGATTCCGGTTCCCCGTACGAGACTCGCAGGTACGAGTCCGAGATGCGCGGGGTGTGGAAGCGAAATTTGAATTCCGAGAAACAGGCGGCGATTAGTTCGCAAGACTTACGCGAGTCCTTTGTGGAGTCCTCTCTGGATTGGCACGATGACTTCGACGACAACGTGAAAATTAGATTCGGTAGAGGACTGAAAGCCGTGGACGAGACAATTTCTGATTCGAAGAAAATCGACGATCGAGACGAACGATCAACCGACGTCGGAAACAAAGCTAATGTTAATTCGAAATTTAATTTCCCGCAAAATTTTCATGATAATTTCTCCGTTTTTCAAGATTGGCACAATATAAACACACCGACGAGCTTGACGGATATTTATAATGTTCACCGTAATTTCTACAATCAGAGCGTCGGAAAAGTTTACGAACCAAACTCGACGAATACGAATGGAAATGAAGATCTCGAAGTTGCCGAACAAAAGCACGCAAATCGACGAACACTGAGAAGTAAAAGAGCAACCGTCACATATCGCACGTTATACGACGACTTGAATCCAGGCAATTCCGACGAAGAAAATAATCTGAATAATCGTTTCTCACTTCCGAATTTTCTCGAAGATCGATCCGACAGAATGTATCGCGAGTACAGTCCAAATTGGAACGATTTGCAAGATCTCGATCGTTCGAAGACTCCTCGAGACATCAGGAAGAAAGCAAAATTAGAAGGAAAAAATAAACAGAAAAAGCACTTTTCCGAGAAACACGCAAAGAAAAGTAGCTCGCATTCTTCGTCAAGTAGAAACAGAAGGCATCACACGCATCGATCGGATGCGTCGTCGAAAAACCTCAAACGAAACCATTTGAAGCCGAAGATGAGGAAGAACAAAGCTAAAGCTTTTCTCGCGACTAAACGTGCCGGAGCTCGGAAGAGCAAAACAGCCGAGCAAGGGCTGCTTCGTGCTGAGGAAACACCACTCGGTAAAGTGCTTTACGAGAATGTGGAGGATCAGAGTGTGAGTGATCGACGATCGCGTGCTAAATCGGCGCGACTAGATTAAAAAGAGAAAAGAATTAAGGTTGATTTTTCAGACAGTGAAGCCGGAGGAGGACGACGCACGGAGAAAGGAAATTACGCTGCTCCTTGCAGCCGACAACGTTGACGATGAGTCACAGATGGACATGGCTGTTCACGGCGAGCTGGCTGGAAAAATCGTTGAGCATATATTTGAACAGGCGAGTCAAGAATCGCGTTGCGCGACTATCTCAAAGCTGTTTTTCTATCTCTTTCACGTTTTAAAAAATAAAGAGCTGTTACCGCTCCATTATTTCTTTTTTTATCTGAAAATAACACATAATTATTCAACATTTATATTCCTGCGCTATAAAGATTAATTATAAAATTGATTAATAATAATAACAGACGTCGCGGATATCGTAGGTCCAAAAGCACGATCAATTGAAGAGGGTTCTTGGTCCCGGACTGCAGCGCAATTACAAGGAAAATGTGATAGCGGCGGGTAAAATTTATCACCAAGGACTTGACGAGGATGGAGTAATCAATATTATTTAATTTTTGAAAAATTTGAACATATATTTTCACAAATGAATTTTAAGAATTTCCATTTGCCACATTGTTGAAATCAATGTTTTATTTAGACGAATCGTACAGAAGCGATGATGAAGAGAGTCACGGAGCTTCTCGACAGATTGATTCTCAATGAGGTACAAAAGAAGACTTGCGTTTCCTTATCTCCGGATATGCGAGAATTTCTAGGATGGATGCTAGAAGTGGATCGAGAAGAGGAATCGTCAGAAGAAGTACGTTTGACAATTTTTAAAATATTTTAATAAATAATATATGTATATTTTTATGTTTGTATTTTTTATAAATTAATTTTATAGAATATTAACTTTTTAATATTCTTAGGCACTTCCATTGCCACTGGTTCGCGAAGAGATTATTCCGAAACAAAATACGGAAGAAGGTCGGTTTTTGTTTGATACTCCCAAACAAGGTGCGGAAGAAAGTGTCAGCGATCTACAGAAAAAAGTGAAAGTATTAGAAACTCTTGTAAAGGAATACAACGCTTTGACAACAGAAGAGAAAATGAAAGTCCAAACAGTTCATGATTATTTGGTGAGAAATTTTATTTATTTAACAAAATACACTGTTTCCCTTAATTAAAAATATAACAACAAACAAATAGTATATAAAATAAAAGAAAGAATATTATATTTTTTTTTTTAAAGAGAATTATTATAAACACAGAAATCTTTTATCACAAAAACATAAATGTTATAATTATTTAGGTTCGGCAATTAAATCTACTGCTACATCATATCGAAGCACAACAATCCGCCGGAGCAAAAGAAAAGTCGGCACCCACTCGAGCAGCTGGAGCTAAAACTGGGAGTATTTTGCAGTATCAAAGCGCAACGCCTAATGCAAGCTATTCAACGGGAAAAGATGCATTTCTTATGCCGATCGATAAGCGTAATTTTTTTCAGTTCAACAACGTCTCGTTTAACATGGCAGACGGACGGTTTAGTGATAGTACGTACAATTTTACGTATGTACATTTTTACAATTATATATGTACGTATTTGTTCAGTTTTTGAATGTCTTTCTGAAAAGTAATCAATTTATATCACGCATATGACGCGTACTAAAAAAAAACAAATATTTAAAGTTTGGCGGAAAATGTTTCTTCAACTATCGGAGTTGCACAATTGGTTATCGAAAATGTTTTTAGTTTTTTTTTCACCATGGCATGCGATAAATTAATTCTGCGTAGTCAATAAAAAAAAAAAAAAAAAAAAAACTATGGCGCTTGAGGCTTCAGCTTTTAAAACAAACTTTTAAACTCTGCGTATAATTCACATCCGCGAAATATCGTGTTTAGGAATAGATACTTGTTGATGAAATATTTGTTCAATTATTACTCCGTTATGTTATTTTATGGTTGAACGAGCAATTTGAGTTTAGTTTTAACTTTAAGACGCAATTTTTACTTAATATTCCAGAGAGAATTAAGATACTTTCTTGTTAGTGTACTTACTGCGTGTTTTAAAATTTCTAGGTCACATCGCATCTCATTACAGAGAAACGCGAAGCGTCGGTAAAGTCTCGTCCAAGCGCAAGAGACACGATCGCAAGAAGAACAAAAATCTCAAAAACCTAAGGCAAAAACGTAAAAAAAAACATCGCGCGGGAGAATCGTTGAAACACGACAAAAAGTCGCGGCGAAAAAAACGCGCGAATCTCAGAGAGAACAATCGAAACTCGTTTTACTTAGGCTATGAGGAGCCAGCAATTTACGATTCGCTCGAGTTGGTTGATTCGAAACTGACGGGAAAAAGTGGGAAGCGAAAACGGGAACTGGCCGATAAGAAAAGCGTGGCGATCACCGAGAATGACGGGATGCTCGATTTGTTACCAATAAAGGGGAAGAATCGGTTGGAGAACGAAGTGATGCTGCTCAACAAGCGGGAAGCTTGGAAACGGGAGAACGAGAAACAGCTGGAGGAAGTCGCGTTTGGCAAAGACATGAGAAACAGCACGGGAGCGCGGGAGAGCGAGCGATTCGAGAAACTGACGGAAGGAGACAAACGGAAGCCGATCGATGAGACGGGTATCAGAATGAAGCGAGAAAACGTCGTTAACGGGTCGTCGGTCATCGGTTGCGCGAATCTTTCCGATAATTCTCGCGCGACATTCGAGGACGGCAGATCGGGAAAAAGTGCGGGAGCAAATAACGATAATAACAACGATGATAACGGCGCGAGAAACGAGAACAACAAGCTGGAATTGCTCGAGCGAACGATCAATGTTTTCGGGAACAACAGAAGCGACGTTGCAACCGATACAGTCGCGGCGACCGTCGCGAAAGTCAATGCGGAAGAAGAAAAGTTAGCGGTAAACGCGGGAGCCAATAACGAGGTTAACGGCAAACTTTGCGCAGTAAATCGCGAGACAAAAATTGACAAGGCGAACGACGAAAGCTTCGTAAACTTGACGAGCGACGCGAAGCCTTGGGTCTCGGAGGAGCTACGGAAAGTTTCGGAAACGGGAGCGGACGATAACGCTGTAAAATTAAATCGCGCGACAAGCTATCGATACGAGAAAACGGATCCTGAGGTCGAGCTGAAAAATCTGAGACGGCGAGAAAGACGAGTGGTGGTTCGCGGCGACGCGGATCATCGAAAACGAAAGATGACCGACGCGTTTCAGAGCGATTTTAATCGCGGTGGAAACAAATTAAGGGAAAAATATCTGACCGAGTTAGACGAGCCGAGTGAACCGGGTGACCCGGATCCCGAGAATAATTCAGAGCTTCCGAGATTAAGGAGTAATAAATGGCCGAAGCACGTCGTCGAATGGAGATTGCTGCCGGTAATAAGAACACCGCCGTATCACGACGGTCGTGCCTTATCAAGAATCCATTTAATCGGGCAGGAAATACCGCCGTTGAATATCATGAGAAACGTGGAAATTCAACCGACAGCTCATTTAAACAAGCCGAAACTGTGGCGAGCAAAACGTCACGGATGGAGAAACGGCGTGTTCAATATCCCGGCCGGTGTATTAAGAATTGTCGGCGATGTTGTCGGTGATGACTTTCGGCATGGAATTCGGCCGAAACGAGTAACTGAAATAGCGAATTTCAGGGATTTTCATACAAATTCGAAAAAAATTCGTCCGAAAGCTCGAAAGCTATCTCGACTGAGAGGCAACAAAAGATCGAACGGTATTGCGGAATTCGCGGCGCCTCTCGCACCGAGAGATCGTAATCGCAAACTAAGCGAAATATCTCTCAATGATCCAGAATTCGACGATCGAACGATCTACGACGGAGTTGCCGACTTTCGATCGCCAGTTTGGCCGTATTACGGCGAGTTTGCAAACACGCTCGCTCTTCACGTAGGTACAAACACTTTTGAGAGAGACGGTGACGTGTATCGATATCCCGCGTATCTCGAGTACGATCGTCTCTTTAAAGAACGGGCTCGTGACTCGAAGCCGCGACTCGCGAGACGAAACAAATTTCGGTCGGGAACTTTGAAAGCCGAAACCGTCGATTTTCCGGAGGATGACTTAGCAAACAGGAGTTCGAAGTCCGAGATTCGCGGAAACTTCAGCGCGGAAACGAACGAGCCCCGACGGTCGCGCGCGTCCCAGGGATTATCTCGCGTCCGACGAGACACACAAGGCGTACACGCGAAAGCTTAGGAAAAGTAACGTAACAAAGGGAAAAGTTCGGGAAGCACAGACGGCTTTTGGGCAATGAAAAATAACTCGGTATATAGCTTGAGCGTTGCGGTGAGTTAGTTTTATATAGTTTGCGCGATGTGACGTAATATGGCGCAATGTGCGGGAAAAAAACAAAAAAACGAATTCAATTATCTCGCACATAAATGTGCGCTTGGAAGGAAGCGCGTCGCGAATATCGCGTTATGCCCGCGTTGCATTTCCAGGTCGAATCGCGACGCGCGATAATTGTCAATGAGCGTCTAAATAATTTCATCAGATAAATCAGATAAATCGTCGATGCGCGTTATCGTAATTGACACATTCGCCCTATCTGGCTGCCAGACAAGCCTGTGAAACCTCGTAAATCGTGCTAGCTCGTCGGGATGAACTCGGTGTCGTCGCGTGTTTGCGCACATACACCACCGACCGAGCTAATCCATCCACGCGAAGACCATCGCTGTAGTGGCGGTTAATGGCGGTGTCTTCCAATAATTAGATTAATAGATCTTGTCGAAAGTTAATTAAGAGACTTTGAGACGCAAATTGTGTATATTTCAATATCGTATCTTGGTTTATGAAAATTTTGCGATCTAGTTTATAACATCTAGTATAAAAGTGTAACCAAAAATGGTTTTCTTAATTTATAAAGTCAAAGAATATTTACACAAGGACACAAATATAATTATACCCCCCTTTCATACTCCTATTTAATTTAATGCGGTATATATCTATAACACACACATGCACACACACACACACACACACATAATCCTGAATTTATATTTATATATGTATAAATATATTTTTTTAGAATATTTTGAAAAAAATCTATGTGTGTATTTTAAATGTCGTAATAAAGTAAGATATTGCAATAATTTTCTATGTTTGTATTTATGTCAATGAGACATTTTTGTCACGCGAGCTTGGGGCGCTTGCCATTATATATTAAAAAGAAAAATAAATCTCTGTGTACAAGAGATGTGTGTCGCAAAGTTGGTGGTGCGCTCATAAAAACGTAACCCGCCCGGTATGTACTATATGCCCCCGCACGATAAAAGTCGAATCTTTCAAACGCGCGGAGTCGTTACACCCGACTCAATCTCGCCGACTTACTCTCCCGTGTAACCGGAAAAAGAGTGTGTATGCAGCTTGTTCCCTTCTGCTCCGGTCCGGCTCAAAATATCTCGAAAGTTTCCTCGTAAAGTAAGGCCACGCGGCGGAATTCCCTCCGGCCAATTAAAGTCTCGAAATCGGACGTACTCGCTTATGCAGGCAAACCAGGCGAGGCAGGGATAAGCGTAAAGGAGAGAAAGAGAGAGAGAGAGAGGACGAGAAAGAGAGGGAAAGTGAGAGAAAGGATGGGACACAGCCGCGGTCGGTGGATGTTATTACTTATTCGACTCCGGGATTTTAAGGGCGGGTTGGATTTATTTAGATATTCCGGCAGGAGCATCTGCTCGTGCGGTTCGATGTCTCTTCTTCTCCCGCGCTTTCGCTCTTCTTCGGCGTGCATTAATATACACACAGCGGATAGGAGCGATATTTTTACATAACATTAGGTTGTTCGTGCGGCCGAGACCTTACTGCCGCGCGGTCTGGGTCACTAATGGGGGTTAAAATACGCGAAAGCGAATCGGTCGCGGCGAAATCTTATGACGCGTATACAATTCGTCTTCGTCGCGGATTATACGCGCGTTCTTAGAAATTTCACGAAATTAGTTTTTTTTTCTCGTCACATTGATTCATCTATTTCTTAAACTGTAATCGGTGAAAAAAATAAATGAGAAAAAAATTTTTATTACCGCTACTGATGGAGAGAAATAATTGTTTATTTTTATCCTGAATTTTTTGTAATTAATGAACGTCTGTCATCGTCTTCCCGTTAACTGTTAGATGCCCAACCGTCAAATATCATTCATGATATCGCGCAATATTTGGAATATTCGAGCTACGATAAGGACATATTGTTTGACACGTTCGATCGATTTATCGCCATTCTCGTTATTCGCTACTTTCGATAGGCGCGCAGCAGAGCCCGGTCGTCGACCTCCATTCGGTCGCGCGTTCCGATCAAACGGCATTGGAGTCGAATGCAAATCGGGACCTTTAATTGGAAAGTGAATTCGACTATGGGTCACGATTATTCACGGCTGTCCGGGTCCGGCAACCCGGTCCCGATACTCGTTCGTTCGCAGCCAATTGTTTCAAATCCCGCATTGTTCCGGAATCCGGATTAACTGGGTCTTACGGTCACGCTATTTAAGAAAACATTTTCGAAGCTTAATGGCACCGGCGCCCAATTTCGCGCATCCACCTCGACTGCGAAAGTGCGAATGCATATTTTAAACGCAATTATCCATTATGCGTCGTCAAAATGGATTACGTTAATTTACAGAGAGAGAGAGAGAGATAGAGTACGTGCCGTCTAATAAATAAGGCAGAAAATTTGATAAACAAAATGATGTGACATTGCCGCACGTACAATAAAGGACGTATAATACGCGCAGCATAATTTTAGAAATCAATAAATATATAAGTGTTTTAAATACAAAATATATATATATATAGTAAAGATATTATAGATATATCATATGTCTGTAATCTTTTATAAAGATATAAATTTCATATAGTTTTTCTACTTACCGTTCTCGCACACAATTGCCGAACGTAAGCTGATCTTTCGATGACGACACCGTGTTTTCATTTTCGTTTGCGCAACGCTCACCGATGATCGAGAAAAAATCGTGAGGATGACAAGAGAGGGCCAAAAATCCCGGCAGAGAGGGAACGGAGGGATCCGGCACGCACCGTCGAATGACAGATGGTATTTTCGCGTATCATGATCGCAGCTAGGATAGTTTCCTATATCGTAGAATATACAGCTCCGGTCTGGCATCGTCGACATGTCGATAGCAGGCCTCGCCGTGCGATACATCTACCGATATCCCCGTACCATAGGCACCCGCCGCGGACCATCCCCCTCGTTCGACCGCTAAATGGCCAAGCGAAGCCACCCCTATGGTGCTCAATTATTGATACTTACCCCTCGCGCCGCCTCGCGTTTCCAAGAGCTGCGTGGCACCATAATGCGTCTCCTGATACAGCGAATACACTTTAGAGCAGTCAAGAAGTATAGATCTGTAAAAAGCAAGAAGTAAATATTTTTCTACAAAAAAAATAAAAATATAAAAATAACTAAAATGACATTTTTGTAGATTTTAAACATTGTCAAAATATGCACACACACAAGTAGTAGTATTTGAATATTTAATCTTAAATATATCTTTGAAACAGCAAAGAGAGAGATCATTTGTTTTCAACACCGAGCAACAATTCGCGAATAATTTTACGTCATTGAAGTTTCAGCAAAAAAAAAAAAGAGAGTTGATTACAATTTCACGTGATAAATACAATATACACATACGTTCAAACAACTGCGACCTACACGATTGCTTATAAAAAATATTATTTCTCTTTTGCGAGTTTCGACAAATTTATAAGTTTGAAGTGTTTCACACTTGCTGCTAATCGGCATCGGGGAATTGTTGAATCAAATTCAGTGACACGCGCATATCGAGAGATCGAGAAAGTTTGATCACTCTAAAGCCCAATTTCGCGACGTAATTCATGAACTCGCAGTTCGAACAAGTCGAGCATTTGAGAACCTCTGCTGTCTGCAATGGTCCCGATTAACCGTTTCACCGGCTAGAGCGAACGGTGGACGTTTTCCAAGCGGGCTCTATTAGATCGACCGGAAGTTCGGTACAGATTTCCGAAGGCGGGCGGCGAGCAATTTTACAATGTTTCTTTGCATCGAATTCGGCAGCGGGCTTGATCTCGGCCACGGAAAAAGATCCAAAAAGAAAGTTCCTCGCGCTGATTGGTAGTTTTCTATTTGGTAACGTCCTTCTTTATCAAGATATCGTGAGAGATCGATGAGCCGCGAGTTTAATCGAGAGCAGGTTTCGAATTTTTGGAATTTAACCGGCCGCGCGGTAACGAATATCGAGATTGCGGCTTTCAAAGCTATATACAAGCGAAAAAATATTATAGATATATATCGGATAACGCGGAAGAGAGCTCGCGTATATTTCTATATAAAGATTAAATTGTAAACAAAACAGAGTTCGCCGATATGAATGAAATTTATTTGGTTTAATTTAGTTGTTCCAGTTTTATCTCACAATGAGTAGAGCGCAAATCCATATGTAACTTCTATCACTTGTCGAGTTTTCGCACAAAATGTTTTTTCTCTAAACCGCGCATGCATTTGGAATCTATAGGTGAATTCGATCGAAGTGTTGAAAACTCAATATGTAACGTGGGCAAGAACGCGCAAGATACGAGAAGCATATCCCTCTCATTAATATCCCAAACATTAGCGCGTCTCTTTCATCGTCCCGGTTACTGTTTCTGACGATAGCGATGAGATGATTTCGATCCTTTTCGTCAATTTCAAGCCAGTCATTGATTCGACGCTCACGTATCCGACGAGTTCGAAAAACAAATAAATAAAATAAAAATAAAAATAAAAATAAAAAAAAAAAAAAAAAACGAAGAAGAGAAAAAAAGAAAGATAGAGAAGAAAGAAAGGCGGCTGTCTCCATAAAGCGATCGTTGGGACCCTCGCCCTTTTTCCATAGACGCGGTGCGCGTCTCGTCTCTAAGTGTATTAGACTCGCGTTTCGGGTCGTGGAAGAAGCCGAAGAAGTCGGGGAGGCGGAGGTTGGGTCTCCAAGTGTGCGAGAGGGGAAGTCCGAGGGCGCGGGCCTGTACCCCGCTAATGGCACCCTCGGGGTATTCCCGAAGAACCCTCTCGTATTTATTATTTAGCGCGGAATGCCGACGGAAGCGAGAGGAAAAGGAGAAGAATCGACGAGAAAAAAAAGGGGGGGCGCGAGAGGGCACAGAAGAAGGGTGGTAGGTGGCGCGGAGGATTTATCCGCAAACATCACACACATCACGGGCTCCGGAATTCCGTCGAATGCGGTTTGAAGAGCAAAAATCGCGGGGGAGACAAAATTAAAACGCCAATGTTGAATCAATTACGAGGGAAATTGCGAGAAATTCTGCAGTCGTTGTTTGACTCGACATCGTCAATTTCAAATGTAAATATGCTGATAAAAATATAATTGCTCTTTAGTTTGTCTTTTTTTTAAGAGAGAAGAAAATTAAATACAATTCATCATTATATAGCGTTTTTAGATGTAATTCTTATCGTATCGCGTTGCTAAAAAGTTTTCATTGTCATTTCCCTCGTCGGGAGAACTGAGATTAGATCTACTTACAAAAGTTGTGTTCAACTATTACCTAGTTCGACTACGCTGATGATGAGTAAACTTCATACTGACGATGAATAAACAAATAAACAAATCGAGTGAGCGGAAAAAAAGCGCGCTTTCGGAGAGCATCAACGTCGAGTAAAAACAGCAGATGCCGTTGGATCAGAAAGAAAGAGAGAAAGAGAAAAAGAGCGAGAGAGAGAGAGAGAGAGAGAGAGAGTGGGAAGTAGAGAAACACGAAAAGGAGAGAGGGGTAGGGAACACAGAGCATAACTGGGAACAGAGTGGGCGAAATCGGAAACGATTGTCGCTCGCGTCCGTTCGAAAAGGCATCGGCGGTGGCAATTTGCGCGTCAGGAAAATGCATGCTTCGGTGGCAGCAGCTGCGGTACGTTATTGATACTACATTTCTCCCGATTTGACGAATTGCCGTGCCGGACTAATGGTCCGAATACGAAGGCAGCAAAACCCCATGTCCTCACTCCTCCCGAGCAATCGTCGTCGGTCCCGTAAAACTATAACTTGCTCATAACTCTCCGCCGGAGGGAAAAGAGACGTCGAGAAAACGTCGTCGGGATCGAAAAGGAAACAGCCGAACTTATGCTCGGTTAACTGGCGTAGTGTGAGGTCGACAGCTCCGCATACGACTATTTGCCTCGGTTTCTGTTTCGCTATGGGACTTACCACGACGACACAGAATTATGCCAGAAATCTCGGCGGTATCGCGAAATGTCAATTATACGATTGTTTCGAAAAAGGAAAGGCGCATTAATATAAGCAAGAAAAGACAAAAGTCTTTTTAATCTACGCCAAAAACTATAATAATATTAAATAAAAAAAAACATCAAATTTTATGAAGAGACTCTGTGCCTCTATTACGCAAGTCGGAGAAGTAAAAATAAATAAGATCTTTATATTAAATTAAACAACGCTCTCGAACTTTAAGCAACAAAAATGCGTTTACATATTGCTCTATTGCGCCTCTGTTGAAACGATGCCGGAAACGGGTTACCGGTTATCTTTCGCCCTTTACTACACTATTGCATAAATAGCTGATAACTTAAATAATTTTTTCTCACTATAGTTCTGAATTGTTTTTTTTTATAATTTACCCAATTTCTATAATTATTGTTGTAAAAAAATTCGATTACATCGTTTGCGAATTGTTTCTTACCTACATATAATTTTAGATTTTGTGGCTTTTAATTTGTATACTTTATATAACGTAAAAGTAAACACATTATATTAATAATATTAATAATGTGCACTGACTGTGCCATCTGTCGCCAGTGAAAAGAACCGCTTGACTCGCAAAAATAACTAGCGTATCGAACTTAGAAAATAACTAGTGTATCGAAGAATGTTAATTCTCTATCGTGAAATAATAAAAAGCAATAAATAATATGCATAAATATAATAATTTAAGAAAAAAACTAATGTACTCTTGTTATTTATATTATTTACTCTATCTTTCATTAATTCAAAAGAAAAAGAGAAAGCTAACAATGTAAATTACAAAATTAGTTTTTGCATTGATTCTGGATGGAAAAAAAAACATGCTTTTTTTTATAAAAAAGAAATGAAATTATATTGCGCATAGCATTTTGCTCGCAGCATTCCTGGAATGATAATAGCATCATTTAAAATGTTCGCGTAATTAACGAAGCTAAAAACTTTTGACCCTTAATTACGTAGACCATTGTGCTCGTGGAGTCCTTTCTTTCTCTCAGATGCAATGAAAACACGAATGCGCTCTACTGAAAAAAAAATGTCCTACAGTCTACATTTTATAACACACGCGCTCTTTCGCGGATACTTTTTCACATTACATGAAACTTCTTGAGTGAAACATATTGTAAACGATAAATCTGTTGTGTGTGAACCAAACTAAAAAAATATAACTCTCTCTTACTTGATTAATAATTATTTTGTGCGCAAATTTGACACATTTGATAATTTTAATTAATTATTAACGGGATACGGTGACTTGAAAGTACAAATAGTCAGAATCGCGAGTATTTGATAAGGCGAATACGTCGATATGTGTAATAAAGCATTACGTAACAAAAATATACGCAACAAAAATATAGAAAAAGCTTATAGAAGCAGGTCTGGCATCACGTTCACTATATATGATCATGCTTCTATTGTCTTTACGTTTGGTTGAGAAACGCCCATTCAACGGCTGTTTGTATGGATGAGTCCATAACGCTTACGCTTCCATGTTATTTCGGTAAATACTACCCATGGCATCCCATTGTTTCGAGCGTAGAATATTTATGTAAAACAAGCTGTTGTCAGGCGAGCAACATTCTATTACCGGCATAGCTGCAGTACATTACATTATCTTGTATCGCATTCTACATGTCTCGTATTATTTTATTGATTACATGTATCCACGTTACATTACGATGCGTCAAATAGTTCTTTTTTAACAGTTTATTACATATATGTACATATATATATAATGCCGTAATTTAAATCTTTCTTTCTTAAAACAGAGACAGAAATTCATTATGTTTGAAAAAAACGTGAAAAACAATTATTGTATATTGAATAATGAATTCAACAAATTAAATTTTATATATATGCAAATATTTATAAATTATCTACTGCAAACAATATGGCATTGATCTGATCTGTTACTACCGCTCGGTAAGACAGTCCGCGCTATTCAAGTTTGAAAGAAACTTGAAAGATAAGTGAGAAATTCTGTAACAAAACAAGTACATTTAGAGATTTTGCAAACTTGTTATTAAAAACATAAAACAAATAATTTTCTACATGTTTTGTGTAATAATGAATGTGGGAAAAAAAATGAAAGAATGAAAAGTACCACTTTGTAAGATTTAATTTGTTGCTTCTTTGAAAATTATACCTTTTGATGTTCCTAAAGTCAATACAACTGTACCGTCGTCGTAAAGACATGTAGATAGTCATTTTAAAACATTGGCTCTCATTCTACGTTAAAGTTTTGTCGAAGAAGAATTAGATAATTGCAGAGATAAATACATGTTTTTTTTCAGACAATTTTTAACATATTTAAAAAAATTTTAAATTCTTGTGATGAAAAACAAGCAAAGTTTTAGTTTTTTCATATTGTTTTAAAAAATGACAGTTTATATTAAATTCTTCTAAATAAATATTCTCATAATATTACATATTTTTATAATATTATACTTTTGTACAACAATATTTTATTTTTTAAATATATATAAAAAACAAAAAAATAGCAATTTAGTAAAATAGTCGATTTGGATTTTAATTGTATTAAGTAATTAACGGTTTTAAAACTACAACAGACGTAAATAATTGATTGAAAACATTATTCGTCATAAACAATTAATTATCGTTCATATTCAACAACTAGTTGTTTTTTAAAAGCAAAAATGCGCTTTTGAAACGTCTGCTTTAACTGAGCGTTTCTACTCTACCTATCGAGTCAGCTTGTGAGAGTGGGTGGGCCCGACACGCGGTCGGTCCGAATCGACCGGCTAGTGCCGATCCGAATGGTGGGGGAAAGAGAGACGCCGTGTAACAGTCGGAGCCCTTAAGGCCCATCTAGCGACTTGAGAGGGGAGAGCAGGGGGCAAAGGCACATTCCAAGGCAGAACGGCTGCCAGTGAAGGTGGAAGGCCCCAACAGTCTCTCACGCGATATCCTGCTTCTATATACCGAGTCTTTTTCTCTCTGTCTGTTCGTTGTGGGCCTTGCGCCATTGTACAATAACGAACGTGGAGATTTAATCGAAAATTCGGAGTTTTGTTGTAGGTGCTTGGATTTTCATATGAAATCGGAATTTTATTGTTCCGTAGATAATATCTCGAAGTTTATCAAGATCTGGTGATGTGAGAATATGTGATATAATTTAGTACGTGATTTAAATAATATAAAATAAATTCATACTTTTGCGACAGTTTGCTCAGCCAATTAGTAATAAGAAACATATTCACATGTTAGTGATAACAAGTGTCTATACTACATTTATTGTTGATTGCATTTATATTATAAAGAATGTAGGTATTTACACACATACAGTCGCAAGATATCAATGTGTTAGATCCAGTAAATGACTCCATAAAGAATGATTAAAAGTGACTATTATTTAAAAAAAATAAACTCTTTAAATATCCAACTGTTTCCTGTCGAAATCTGTTTCTTTGTAGTTCATAAGATTTACAAAAATTGTTAGTTTTCGGTGATTATTTTTCATCGACTTCGTTGTCGTCACATTTATTGCCGAAGTTTCGGGCTGAATCTCGCGAAGACACAACTGATATTTCGCAAAATCACATCGCTATTGATGAACAGACTCGAGATTTTTCGAGTGCGAACAGTTTATTCCATCGGTTTGGGCTTCTGCACTTCGTTATCTTAGGATGCGACGCTCCGAGACAATTTCGTCACTTGCTGCAACGGTTATGCAAAGGAAATGAGAAACATATTACCCGAATCTTTGTTACTTCGGAGCAGCAAGAAGTCGCTTTCGGAGAGCAAAAAGAACTTAGTCACGTATCGTACATTCGGCTTAAACGTTGCGAGCAGATCGTTGGGCATGCGGAAAACACGCCGTCGTAGGACAACAACAGTGATTGAGAGGATCCGACCGATAGCGGGAAAATCGACTCGCAGGTAAATATAGTTGTTATATATATATATATATATATCTCGGTTGTAATTTAAAGTAGGATTAAGCGCTGTGATTTCGCAACGCGCGTGCGAAACGCGAGGTCTGTAGCGCCAGTGAAAAGGTCGTCACTTCTTCTCACGGTGTTACAAACACCCTGACGAGTCGCGTCGGAAAGAACGACTTGGCAAATCTCTCAACGGTGATTCACGTAATTGATTTCTTATCACCCGAAAAAACAATTAAAAAACAAGGAAGCTATTATTTTAGAACTTTTATTTTTTTTTAACATTTATCTATTACCGATATATTACAATGTATGTAATATATTTTTTACATGATATATATCTCGGATTGAATGGATTACAGTACTCTATAATAATTGTTTCCAAAATGTCTTATTCTCTTTCGTGCGTCTATTTCAATCTCGCAACTTGCAAATTGGCGTTTGTGCAATCGCGTCGAGATTATCATCTGTGATTGATGGCACTTTCAATCTCACGATCGTCGGATCGAATCGAATTTGTAATTATGCAAGATCTGCATCGAAATGTTCGAAGTTATCTTGCGATTTCGATGAAATTGTTGAAGAAAGTTCGCGCTTTTCTAAATATATGAAATTAAATCCACGTGTCGCGGATATATTCTTCACTCTCGCGCCGATTACCGCGAGACCGTCGAAAGATAGAAAAAGTTTGTGGCGACCGTGTACAAGACATCGGCATCGAACTTGACCGTGGCCTTCGAAGTCTTTGCGCTCGTATAACGAGATACGAGGAATGTGAGCGGCCGAGAGTCACTGGTCGTACTTGCGAAGACTACTTTGGACTGGTTATAGCAGCTAGATGTCCGATATTGAATGAGCTGAACGTGATGTTGATGTGTAATTAGTTTCGCATAAAACAAAAGTTTTTTCACGTTGTTGAATTTTCAAACATAAAGTTTTACATGGAAAGTAAATTGGAGTAATTTTGAAACCTGTGATTATTTTAAAATACCGCACAGTTATTCTCATTAATTATTGTATAAATTATTGTATAAATGTGTAATAGAATATTACATACTTATAAAAGACTTATATAAAATATTTATAAAAGACTTGTATAAAATACTTATATAAATTACATATTTATATAAAAGAAGAATACAAAGATGAACATTTTAAAATTTAATAAATAACTTGTTTAATCTTTAAAAATATTTTTTTCGTCAAAATTTTTTAAAAACATTTTTAGAACATCCTTATTGAATAGATATTACTTGACATTTTTTATTCAATTGGAAGTAAATGCATCTCATTGTTGTCATATGCGACAGCTTGAGACAAGGGTTGGCAGCAACGGCGTTGACACACTGGCTTTTAGATCAGCATCAATGTCGAAACAATTCTCGATTACCCGATAACTGTTATATTCTACGAATCTCAACGAGGAGTAGTTCGTTTTGATGTCCCGCCTGGTTGCACTTGATAAATCGTTTCGTATTACGAAACAGCGGGGGAGCCATCGTCAACAACTTATAAAAAGTAAAAACAGCTGGAAGATCCATCTGACGAGTATTTTGCTTCGCATCTTCTCTTGTTTATTGATATGATTTCTTCGTTATATTTCTAAAAAAATATATAATATTATAATACTAATATTATTTATCTTATCAAATCTATTAATCTTCATTACTTGTTTTTAATAAAGATGAATTATAGAACTAACTAATATTTTAACGATCATTGAGAGCCTTACGCTGGATGTTCGTTGCGAAATAATTAAATATATATATATTTATATATTTTTTTGTGTAAATATCACACATAATGAATTTTAGAAGTTGTAAATGATATGACATATGCAAAGTCAAAGATAAAAAGAATTATTACTTTTTTAAAATTATATATATAGAATTAAAATCAATTCATTAAATTACAAAATTATATAAATTATTTAAAATTACACAAATTATGCAAAATATGCGTTGTATCGCCAGTAAAGAAAATTATTATTTGGCTTATTTGATTAGCGGCAACATACAAATATTTGAATATATTTGATATAGAAATTCATTGTTTAAAGAAGAAATTTCTTTTATATATATATATATTTTTTTCTTTTTTTATTCCAGACATTAAAATGTCTCAATCAGAATTGATCAGCGATTTGGATCTTCCTCAAAATTCACAGCATTCTTGTCAGTGTTCTGCGATTAGCAACATGGACCCTATGAGGACATCGAGGGATAGAACAGAAAGGATTGTGGGTAGCACTAGGATCTCCAACAATCAAGATCTCCCACGAAATCTGGAAACGTTGCAGAGCGTTTTTGAACCGGTGCGAAGGCTAGATAGTCCTCATCAAGACAATTCGCAAATTAATCTAGATAATACCAGAAACGTCGATCTTTTGGAACATCAAACAAACATACCGTCTAACTCTAGATCTATGAACAATCAAAATACGATGCTGTCGCTTCACAGTCATAATCTCTCCAGTCCGTCGCGTAACTTGGATTTGTCTCGCAATTTAGCATTCGAAGCAGCTCGAAGAGTTCAAGAAACTTCGAATCTGCAGGACAGTCAGCACAGTCTGACTTCAAGTCCTAGTCCTTTGCTGGAAGCTGGACCAAATCTGCTCGAGACGAATAGCAAAGAGTTAGACAAGCAGCTGGAAGATCACGCTGGCTTGTCGCCGCAGAAACAGAATAATAGTAAGGACAAGCTGAAGAACGTTCAGCAAGTGCTGAATCTTTACCAACATCATCACGAATCAGCGGCAATGGATTCCGGGCGTAACGTTCACGGGCATTTTCACGGTGACGTACACGCTCACATTCATAAGCACGCCGACAACTTCAGAACCAGCACTAATCTAGACGCTGGTGAGAGTTTGATGGGCTTCCGACAGCACACGCATCATCATCACAGTACTACGAAAACAAACGTCACTCATCATCACGGATCTGGCGCGCATCACGCGCATTCGCAAGGAATGACGGGACATCATCATGGAAATCTGGCAAATAGTCTTACCAGTCATGTTCATGGAAATCCTCTGAGCGCATCTGGTTTGTATCTTCTCTTTTGAAATCTCTGATAAAAATTAATCTTCATGTAAATAAACTGACTAAATTAAATTTCTAGATATAATATTCGAACATTGCGAGAAATTTACTTAATGTTTTGTGATCGAAAAATTTTTATAAATTCAACTGCACGGAATGTTCAGATTCGATTCCTGATCAAAATATCTTTTTTTTTAGAATAAGTTTTTAAATTTTAGGCATAAAATAGATTGTTTAATTTATATATTTGAGGTGCAAAACAGCTTAGACAAATTTTTTCAATTGTAAGAAATTCGAATTTTTATATGCACTAATTTGCACACGTCTAAAGAAGTAGATTTGCATGTACATCCAGCATATTGGTTGGCATTTTAATCGTAAACTATCTGCTAGTTGAATATCATATCACGAGCTTAAATTTCTTGATATACATTATTAGATTATAATCTCAAAATAATTTAAATCGAGATTCGCCAATGTGCGAACCAAATTAGAAGATGCTAGAGTAGAAAACTTTCTCTCTATTGAAAAGTCAAAGAGATCGGGCAATTGTTTTGTTCCAGGTTCCAGCTCCATGAATCAAACTAGTTCTACAACTTCTGGACACCATCACTCTATTACATCCGCAATAAGTCACATGAATTCACCCCACAGTCATCATCGACTTAACACCGGATCTAGTTTGACCCACCACTCGAATTCCGCTTATTCTAGCGATCACCATGGCACTTCCAGTGCTCTGAGCGGTGCGTCGTCTAATTCGAGTATGATGAATCACGGTGGATCACCCACAATCGTACATCGGCATGTGGTGAACGTCAACAGCAGTTTATCAACAACACCTTTAGGTGGTCATCACCACGGCAACTCATCGGGAAGCCTGACTGGTCACACCAGCGTCAACCATCATCACGTGAGCTCCGGTATATCGTGCGAATCCTCGTCGTCGAACGCTAACACCAGAACGCACAGCAGGCTGGATCACGTTCACGATCATCATCACCACCTGCAACCAGTGCATTCGTTGCACTCGAATCATCCCGACACCAGGCCGAGAGACCGGGCGCCCTCGAGCTTAGATCATCACGGACACCACCACGGTCACGTGCACAATCACGGTCATCCACACTCGCAGAGCGACACCAAGAATGCGTCCCTTATGGGCGTTGACACTATTCAGGTATGTCGACTTAAATGGAATTCTGAATTTACGTGTTTATATTTTGTAAAGCAAATATAAAATACATTAAAAAATATATTCTAATGAAATAAAATATAACTGAATAAATATATTAACACGTTTAGTGCTGGATTAATTTTCGGTAACAATTGAAAAAATTGATCGTCACGCCGCGTAGAGCGTAAACGACCCACGGCATGATACAATCGCGCTTATTTGTGATATTTAGACATCAATGATTTTACAAAACCTTTTTACAAAAATTTTTATTTAACAGAGAAAATTTCAAATGACTTGAACCGAGAGTGCAGAGTGAAACGTATGCGACGCGGCATGAAACGTGTTAATAAAATTATAACTAATAAGATAAATAAAACAACATATCTCGTCAGTTCTCGTATACAATTATTACACTTTGAAACGACATAAAATTGTAAATTTTTTTTAAAAATAATTTTTAACAACTGCAAATAAAAAAACTGTTTCTCGAGAAATTAGTTGAATTATGCGCGCGCGATTGCATTTTTATCAAGTTTTCTCGTGCTTTGCCAAATGAGAAGAATGACTTATGTCACTGTTCTGTGCAACGGCTCGTATATTCCTCGCAGGTTTTTGCCGCCACATCTCAGAAAATACACCATCGTGAATCGCCATATCTCTATCCGCGCACACGCTTGAGTTACGTTCGCCGCGTCCCGGCCACGCGAGAAGCTATAAATCGTCTCCTAAGCAACGGTTCTACTCTTAGAGTTTATATCAGGAAATATTTTTAGCCAAGAGCCAAATGCAGCGCGCGCATGGATGATTAATGATCGATGCCTGTTGCAGGAATGTTCGAATTTCGCCGCGAGTGCTACGAAAAATGATTCGCTGGCCATTCTTTGCTTATAAAAAAAGTGTTGACATCGCAGCGTGTAATGTGTTCTCTCTCGCATTATGAGAAGTTGCGCTGGTTAAAACTCAAACTGAGAAGGACCTTTTTTTTGTCGGCAGTTTACTCTATAAAATTCTGGAGACCAAAAGACCTCACATCGTGACACTAAAGCAGAACTCTTATTTTGCCGTTGTGTCATACAGAATTATATAGACGGTCTTGCAGATGTGTTGCTGTGGAGATCTGGAATAGTATCTCAGTGGACATCCGCAATGAGCATTTTATCGCCTTTAAAGGCAAATTTTTTGAAAATTTACTGCAACACAATCCAAACTGTTAGTTATTCTCTGTAACTCTTTATATATAGCGGTTTATATTTATATTTATTTTTATATTTATTTATATTTATTTATTTTTATTTTTAATTTTCTGTTACTCTTTACTCACTCAATTCTTAGTTTTTCTATATTTCTTTCTTTGTTTCTTTTTGTAATTTTGTTATAAACATGTACGCTTGAAAGGATCTCATCCCAGAGCGTTAAATAAAGCATCAATCAATCAATCAATCAATCTCTCTCTCTCTCTCTCTCTCTTGTACACATTTTGTGACTCTCTCTAGATATGATTAGCTTTAAAATTTTAATTATCTCATTTAATTTAACGATCGTTGAAGAGAAATAAAAAAAAATCAACATTTATAATTATTAGGCATAATATAAAAAACAGCAGTTTTTGCTTTTTTTTGTTTATATATATTTTATCAGACATGATTCTTTGTCGACGAGTTTATCACCTCATGGTTTTAAGTAAAGAAATGTTTTTTTTTTTTTTTTTATGTTTTAGGTATCCGCTCCTACAAAGAACAAATGTCAGTGTCATGTGGTGCAGCAATCTGGAGGTAACAATAGAGGAGTCGAAGGTGAGAGTGACGGAGGCGTCGAGATAGCATCAAGAACGCATCAACCCCCTGCCCTTCCGCCTCGGCCGCCACCGAGACCAACAAGACGTTATGAAACAACCGCTACTAATCAATGTAAGTACCGCATATCACTTCTTTACTTTTTAAAAATCTGACAAGAATTTGCCCTCGAATTCAATTATTAAAGAATTTTTTGCATCCTATTTTGTTGCTATTTTTATAAAAATGTTCAAATATTTTCACGTAATGATAAGATCACATTGAGAATTCACGTTGTTCTCTGCGCGGAGTTTGCGTACGCGCGCCGATATGAATAGCCGATTCATGATATGAGTGACGTTAACGCCTACCTACTCCGTATCGATATATGACTTAATTTTCACTCGATGTTGAAACGTCAACCAGTCATTGAACTGACAGACATTTCCTGTAAATTCGTTGAACGATCTCGCAACATTTGGCGCGTGTGTGGTAGCTTTATCGATTTGTTTTACAATCGCTTTGACAACTGCACTATCGGCCGGTTGAGATGTGGACGCGCGTACTTTTATCAGTCGGAGGGACACGCGTTATCGACGACCGTCGTCGTCACACCACGTGTCAGAGTTTCTACCCCGTATGTCCGCGGGGTGCATTCCCGTGGAATTTCAACCCCCGACCGCGCCGGGTCGCTCGAATCATCCGGGAAGGGTATATCGACCAGTCGATGCTCGCACCAACCGAGAGTAGGACGATCCTCTTGTCGGGAGAGTGCGAGCGACTCGAAAACGCCAATAGAACAGTCTTAACACTGTCAACGTGTGTGGTTTGCGTGCGACACGTGTTCAGTGTTAACACTTCGCTGGCGCAAAATAAAGCGAACCTGGTATTACGCGGACTCGGCAAGCGCTACGAAAGCCGCCACCTGTGGGATCACAACGTGTCCGCCACCGAAGTTCGTGAATCCGTTCTTGAATGCGCGATTGTCGATACAAAGTGAAGTTTTCTTCTTTAAACAGAAATAGATATCAAATATTAACGACAATCATTTTATTTTCCAAGAATCAAAGTGCGAACCTGACAATTATTAATTAAAAATTAAGGAAGTTGTTGTCAGTAATACTTTTCGATGAACATTTATGGTGAAAGTGGGCTGATCCAGCGGAAATGTGCGATAAACAGATGACCTTGGAGAGCAGCGAACTCTCATGGTGACACGTGACCTTAGCGGACTATTGCAAATACGTGTTTAGTTTGCAGATGTTATCCAACCACGCTGGTAAATCAGTCGTTATTCGAAACATCGATTATTTTGGAGATACACAGATAATGTTTCTGCAACTTTGTATATTCGTAAAATATAGTTCAAAACAATATGACGATAATTAAATTACCTGAAAAACTATAAATTACCTGAATAATATAAATAAATTGTACAAACAAAATATTCTGTAAGATAATTGGAATTTATTGCGGTTTGAAAACTTATGTCGAAATCACAAAAAAAAAAACAACTTACTTTGACAATAACAACAGTGAGATTTGTGTGATTATGATGAGAAGAATTAGTTAAAATGAAATGAACGGAAGAGTTCTGTGAATCCAATTTGGCCGAGTAATTCGATAGAAAGATTAATGCCAAATAGAAAAAAAGAGATCGACTGATTAATGAAAGAAGAAGTGCTACTCTACGTGTGATAACCAGCAATAAAAACTCAGAAATGAACTCGCGAGATTGTTGAGGATCGTCGCGAGCGAGATATAAGGCAGACACAAAGAAGATGGATGGCTACCCGGTGCTTCAAATAGTGCGTTGTCGCCTCGGGACGGAAATGGAGATGGATAACCAGCAGGCCTATCCGTTCCCGATGATAGCGCATTCGCATTCGCACTTGCCGCATCCGGCGAATCACGCGCACTTTCCGAGGCCGCATCGTTGTGGTATGCCAACAAACCTTTGCCGTTTTTGCTCATTATCCACCCCTTTTTGTCCTCGTGGTGCAGTCGTGTACATCGTTATTAATAAACACGTGATGGCGTTTTGAGACAAGGTCAAAGATATGACGTCTTTCTCTTTTGTATAAAAAAAAAAAAAGAAAAAAAAGAAACAAGCATCTTACGTTCCCACTTTACATCCTTTTAATTTATTATAAAAAAGAACCTACTTTCCCAAATTATATATAGAGAGAAAGTGATTTATCGAAGGAACATAAAAGACACTAAAAATAATTCTCTTTACGCGTACACTTTTTTATATTGATCGAAGAAAAGGTTTGTTGGAAAATGTAATTGAATAACTCGTGTTTGAAAAACATAAATTTTTTTTACCGCAATGAGTTTTTTATCTATATATTTTCGACAAACATTTTAAATGAATAATCTAAAATAAATCATAAATTTTCTAAAATAACTGGTTTTAGAACTTGATCCGCGTTGCAGGCCAGATATCACTACGTCAAAAAAATTGGTCTCGACATATATCGCGGCTATCTATAAGTTCCACATGCGAAATATTTTTAGCTGTCTTTAAATATAGATTCCAATTTCACAAGAATGGTCCGAATCAAATATATTGCACGTTTATTGTTATTCTATTTATAGACGCGGTATATCTGTCAACGTCAAGTATACGTGTAGAAAATTCAATAGTTGTGATATATATATATATATATACCACACATGTACTATTTTTTTATGATTACTTATTTTTTTAATATTTTCCAACCTTTTTCTCACAAAAATAAAAATCTTACAGACAAAAATTAATTTTTTTTTTCAAATATTTTTATATGCTTTGTATCAATTCAAACCGGTACGTCATTATACTTTCTCTCGTCTCAACCCAAATACTAAGTCGAAAACGCAGGTACAAAATGTCAAAACGGCAGGTGAAGGAGTGACATTATTTCTTTTGAAAAAAGAATCGCGGATCCGATCAATTTTGGAGTTGCGAAGAAACCGCTATGGAATGTATATGTTCGAGGGTGTTTTGAAAAGAGATGACGTTACTGATTTTTATCATTGTCCTCGGAAATGTAAAAAACGTGAATTTACCCTCCGGCAAACTCTGGATCATAAGAGAACAGTTTTTTTTCTTTAAAGAATCCATTCGATACTCCCATTCTCCGGCATCTAAGAATTTCCACTACGTAAATCTTGTATATCCCGCCTTTGAACGACAGATTAGGATCAGAAGACGCGTCACGCTCGGAGTATTTTTTAAAAATAGTTCTTTTAACTTGCACGTGGAAAAAAACCATGGTGAATCCTTTTCTGGATCTTTTATTGCGCCATTCAGATTTTTATGTCTGCAGATCCTTTCAAAATAATCATCTCTCATATGTTTTCTTGCATTAAAACAGACGTGGATCTCTTTGGGAAAATAATTTCTTAAACGTCTTGTAACTGTGTTATGGGAAATATTTTAAGTATATCTATCATATTCTGTTTTATTTCTTTTTTCCTCTTAAAAAAGAAATAATCAATATAGCTTATCAAAAAAATTTTGAGAGAACTCGGAGAATATTAACGCATTGTCTTTCAGCAACATGATGATGTTTGACAATTCACTGAGAGAACTTCCAATACGGTTGGCGCGATGGAGAAATTCAATAGAGAGAGCTTTGACAATAGAAGTCGAACCCGGATGCCATCAAACGAAGTAACACAGCTGCGTCGAACGTTACAAAAGCAAAACGCGACGAACATTCCGCAACGCGGTCGTGATAGGAACGGAAATACAATTGGCGGTTTCGGAGTTTTCGCAATATGCGAGATATCCGATATGATGTATGCAAACAGAAATTTATTTCTTCAATATGTTCGTTATTTGTAAAAACTAATTGAAGCGTTTTGTGTCAGTTAGTATTCAGACACCTCTTTGTTCGATTTTTTCTGCCACGTGTAACTTAACAGAATTTACTTTCTGCTGTGTATGTAATAATTATGTCTTTTTTTTTTTTTTTTTTACTTTATTGCTATCACATACACACATCTCCGTAAGCGCTGAGCGCGATTCCAGTACTCAGGCTTTTGTAAGATCGACCCTTTTCAGGAGAAATTCACGGCGAGGGTAAGCCCGTGATGGTTCCTCGGGTAGCGGGATAATGATTGTCCTCGCGTGAGAACGTAACAGCGGTAGTTCTGATCTGGCCACAATGAGAAACGTGCCGCGAGCGAAATTCCTAGAATATCCGTACACAGTGATTACCCACAAACTCACGACGATATTCGACGTTTCGATAATGCATCGTCGACGGGATCAAAATTAATTGCATCCTTGACACTATGGCGAATACAATTCACATCAATCGGCTAAATATATTTCATTTGTCCTTCAGCTCTTTTATATTTAGAAACGAAATAAAAAAATTATCCACATGCGAACACATTGTTCTCAGAGAGAAGCTTGTGTCTTAAAAAACATTATTAGATATTGTGTATATTTCTTGCTGATCGCTTCTCGAGAGAAAGATTGCAGCAGCCGCAAATAATCTGAATCGATTTTACATCGGCACAAGAGAGTCTCGTGTTTGTTATCAAGCATTCCGAGCACGCGCGAAATTGTTTTATCGGAGCGATTAGAATTTCAAGGATCGATTTTGCAGGTCACATCGACGAAGGTGGCTGCTGCAAAAAGTACGTTGTCCTTTGCTGCCTCTGCGGTGGGTTCAGCGCGGCGGTCGGCAGCCTCTTTTTGGCGGTGCACGCGGTCCTTTCGGCCCACACGGCCAGTCTAGCGCTCTTCGAGACCGTGCCGTCTTACATTCCTGGCATTATGGTGAGAGACAAAGATTGATCGGTTTTGTATTATCAAATGCGTTTTAGCGTTTCGATAGCCCGCGAAAACAAAAGTTAGCACATCTAGCGTTGGATTAATTTAAAAATATGTTTTAAACATATAGGTATGCAATGTTTTAAATGTTGCGCGGACACACATATCACAGATAGATCGATTTGATAAATATTTGAAATGTAATAACACACGCAACGGTAATTGCAAAACGATAATAATTCATCATCGTTTTTCAGTTGATTCTGATGGGTTTCTTCACAATGTTGTTGGCCAGGCGAAAGCACAGATATGGATTTCTCGTAAGTTTGCCGTTAGTGTAAACCTTTCATTTTCTCAGCGGAATAACGTCACCGGAGTTGACAGTTCTGCCCGTAGTAAGCCGGAGTTTATAACTTTTGCAGTTGAAAGTCTGCGGTTCCGTGGCAATTTTGTGCGCGCTGGTGTGCGTGATCGTCACCGTCACAACCACGGCGATTCACATGTCCCGATTGCAGAACCTTCGTGAGTGCGTTTACACGGCGCGCGCGAGGTATGTGTGTGCACATATTTCTTTCATCAGAATCAATTACAGAAAAAAACGATAAAATCACTTCGTGTCATCGTTGAAGCAAATTTCTACACTATGTGGTTTAAATTGTTCTTTTGTGCACAAATACTTAAAATATAATAACATATATATAGATTTTTTTTACATAAATATTAATTTACATATATATATATATATATATATATATATTAGATAGATATCATTCTTAAATTAATTCTATGATGGAGTTTAGATCGTGCACGTGTTACGGCGCGCCGCAGTCGAAGGGAGATCCCGGTGTGTTGTTTGAAGGAACTCCTCATTGCGAAGCGGTGCACGGCGCGCTGTCAGACTGCCTAAGGGCTCTCTTCGGCGTCTCGGTGGCCGGCGTGTTGGCCTGCATATTTTCGTGTATGCTGGTATACCAATTGTTAAGTCACGAAAAGAAGAAGATGTATTGGGAGCAGTTGGAACTTAGATGCAGATCACTGTACGGGCAGGGAAGTACTGGGGGATTACCAGCCGGATCCTGCGGATGCTGTAATGACTGCGGCGGTTCGAATCCCTGGTGGGCCCAGACACCGGGAAATCTGTACACACCGAATCCCGATTTGGCACCGTCCAGGTGAGAAAGAAGAGATATCTAATACTTTAGCGGTAGTTAAGTCACACAGATCATCGTATAATAAATGTTATTTTTTTTTAAATAGAAGATAGCACAAAATTTAAATTGTTAAGAAATTGTTAATTGTAAGAAAATTTTGCAATCTGCGTTTTGTAATTATGTGTATAATATTATTGCACGAACAAACTTACGTCGAGTAAAACTTTAATAATGTTTTGTAGGTTCTATTAAGCGCTAATGAAAAACTTTGTTTCTTGTCCGTAGAAGATGGCGATTACCGTGGTCCAGATCGAGGGGCCCAGCGCCCAGTCCAGACTCGAATTACGGTTTCCACACGCAAACACGAACAACAGAAGCCAACGTGGAGAGCGGAACCGGACCTTACAGCGTTCTCAACTCGCAGTCGAGTGGTCCTTATTCCGTTTTAAACACTCAGAACGCTCCATACACACCGAGTACCGCGTCTTACAGCGTTTTGGAAACTCCAGTGCCATTGTGGGGACCACCTCCGCCTTACAGCGATCCAAATAGTCCCGCCAGACGACCTCAAGTAATCGAATCGAGACCCAGAATTGCCAAGAGAATGGATAATTTCGAGAATAATGAAGGTAAAGTGTCAACTACAAAACAAGTGAGACGCTCTTCTTAAATTATTTTTAATAAATCATAGTATGTTACATTAAACATGTTAGAAAAAAAAAAAATCAAAAGTTTTACGTTTTATCAAATATTATTTTATATATTAGTTAAATTTCAAATGTAAAAAATTAATTTTTGATATTTTTCTAAAAAAAAAAAAAAAACATTTCTTCTCAGATCACAGATCAAGATCTGCCAAGCGTCCCTCCGACAATTACGAGAACGCCGAGGAGATTTCCAACAGTACGGATCCCGAGGCCGGAAATGAGGGAACCATCAAAAGTAGAAGAGCCAGAAAACCTATGAAGGGAGTAGAAAACGGTGCGTTCCAACAAGAATCGAATCCCGGTTCAAAACAGTCCGAAAGTGAATTATATTTCGGCGACGTGTCCTCGTGCTGCGGACCAGAAACCAGTTTTTACGATCTAGCTGTGGAGAAAGAAGGTATTACATTCTACTTGCGTTAAAACAGCGCATTTTTTTAATACGGAAATTTTATTATAGTTAAATTTCGAGACAATTTCATCAATTTTATCTATTAAAACTTTGTCATGAAAAATTGTATTTTATCAAATAGCTTGGTATCGATCATTTATAATATGATAATTTTTATAACGTACGATAAAGTGTGTGTGACATTTAAAATTATACATTATCTTTGAGGTCACGGTATTTACACTTTTTATTTTTATCTTGTTTTTATTAAAGGAGTCTGTTGTTAAAGTATTTGCATGTGTGAACTTACAGGTACGGAACGTTCGGAGGGTGTTGATTACTTGGCGGCTAGGCTTGGCAAACGGCAGCTGTCGAAGAGGTCTCGAATGCCTATTCCCTTGCCTGCGGATAGCAGCGACACTCCTTCCGACAATTATGCGAACAGTGACGAGCCGAGAAACGCGAGAGGTCCGTTTCTAGCTCCTGATGCGCAGTACGAGGTCATTCAGCAGAGCCGTTATTCGTATTACGCGGCGAAAAATAACGAGGAATTGCAGGAAGGTCCGGCGAGTTCTGGTTATTATCGAGAGGACGAAAACGAGAGGGGGCGAGAAAGGGATTATAGGGATTACCGAAGCAGTCAGGAAGAAGAAACGCCGCAGTGTTGCTTGAGCGACTCGACTACCTTGGATTCCGGTTGGCAGAGCAGCGAGCAGCAACAATCGGACGATAACGTTCGACCTGTGAATGTGTGATTTTGGAAAGAGTCTAGTGAACCAAGTGATGATGAATTGCCATCGATTCCCGCGCGAAAAAGCGTTACTCGAAAATAATTAGATAGTAGTAAAAAGGAAATGCGACAATAGTTACTGATCTGTGAGCACATATGTAATTTAGATAGACTGTATGTAGCGTCCGTGTTTTTCTCGGCAAGTAAATGACTGAACATGCCGAGATTATACGTTTTTTTAACAAAGCAAGAGACAAAAACTTGACGATGGTGTTCGAACAGATAAGACCCTAGTCGGATAATACGTACGTTAGTTAGTAGTTCGCTCTATAAAACTTTTTACTGTAAATTTTTATTCACTTGACTACACACATTAATGAGTTATTGTCTGCGCAGTAAACTTAATTGATAAAAAAAGTGTGAAACACACATCTCGACGTGGTTTATATATTAACTTAATATAGTATCAAAATTTAGTTCTTTTAAAACACACACAAGTAAAGTTGTCGAAGAAGCTAATTGTTTTTAAAATATAATATTTCGTGATTTTTATATACAAATATAGTTGAGTAGCAGTGACGCAAGTGGTCGTGACACAACAAAATATTTTTCGTAACTAATAGTCATTTAAAGTATAATAGTTAGTTTAATTGTATCTTTTTTATTCTCACGGAAATTACAATGATTTAGATACAATGTTTTTCATATTTTCTTAAATAAATGTATTTTATTTTTATGTTATGTATAAATGAAATGCTTAAATTCGGTGAACTGTCATCGTGTAATAGAAAACGTATATTAAAAGTAATAACATCGTGTAGTGATAATAATCCTTAGTGATGATAACACACTGTAATATATCAAACGCAAGTGAGATCTAATCTCGTTGAGGAGATTAACACGATAAAATAGATGCCATTAAATGCTTTTCGTAAGAAGCTTGCCTGTTCAATATCTAATCGATATATACATATATTTAATTGACGAGTGTAGATGTGTGTCTAATATGAATAAAAACTAGATCAAGTGATGACTTTGATCATCAATAATATTATACAAATGCGTGTAAAACTTCGTGTTCATCATAAAATAAACGTCAGTAATCGTAATTAATTAAGCAAAACAAAAAAAAGAACAATCTGATCATTTGTATCAAAACATGATCAATTGTTAATTGGATAAAAGTGTTGAAAAAAAATTGCACAGGATATAAAATATATTCACGACAAATTTTGTGTATTTTTGCTAATTAAGCGACGTATGTCGCTCGTATTGCTCATAGTAATAAGTAATAATGAGTGTTAAACCAAGAAGTTATTTGTGATGCGAATGAATGAGAGAGAAAGTGAAAATTAGATTCATAGCTGAATAATTATTTGTTAAAAGTGTATCCACAAATGAACAAATGTGCGGTTATTTAATAAGAAGTTCTACTTTTTACTATTTATTGCAATTTGATTGCTTTTTCTACTCAATACTTGTGTTTATTTAAATTTCATGTTTCTATTGCGAATTAAAAAAAAAGTTGAAATGCTGCAAAATCGGCAGTTGTTCTTTGTTGGATACGTGGTAGATCATGTACAAAAGTGTGCTTTACTCTTGCCAGTTAGGTGTTAGCTGCAATTTTCAAGTAGTCTGAATGTCTCTGAGATTTCAAAATTATCAAGCGATATATTACTCGTAAAAATTTATTTGACAAAATTTCTTTTGCGATTATTGATTCACCGTCATGTACATTCGCAAACATTATTTATTTATTTTTTTATACATATAGGTTTTGAAATTTGTTATTCGTCTCGAACTTGCACTTCAAATAAAAAAATTTTACTCATATCGTTAAATACATACTTGCGCGATCTTTGACGATGCTTACTGATGAATCGCTTCTTTTATTTAGAGCCATAATAGGCGCTGACATTCGCTTTTGGAATCACAATTCAGATGGACCAAGGACAATATAGAAAGAGAAATCAATCGACTCACTTAGTGATTAGAATATTTGTCGGTTGTCTATTTTCATTATCAGCCGCTCGAGACGTGTGAACATATATATGAATGCGTATTTTATATTTATTCAGAAGCGACAGAATCAGATCGTAACGCAGTAGCTTAATGCCGTCTAAAGCGAATGAAGTGTACCTTAAAGACAAACTGCGAGTCAAAGTAAGTCTGGCACGCCATTGAATAATGTATTTAACAATGAATAAGAATAAATAACGAATTTTATGCGAAAAAACTGACATAAATACAAAAACAACTTACATAATCCCAAATGACCTTTCTTTGAATATATTTTTTTTTTTTTATGTTGTTGCAAAACATCAATTAGTTGATTTGCGGCAATTCCAGACAAGATCAGAATTGAGTTGCTGCGCATGCAACGCATGCGTATAAAAAAAATCAAGACAACAATAATACAATTATTTATCTTAAAATAGAGTCAATATACTTTTACAGAGAATTTTGTTTGTAAATACAATATAGAAAGAAAACAATTTATGTAATGCGGAAGTTGGCGAATAAGAACGTATAACTGGTAAGTGCTAGAAAGGAATGCGGGTTTCAACGCGATATTGCTATTGTTAACAGGTTTGTTAGCGAATTCCTTCGTTGGCCAATATCAAAGACTGTATGATATGTATCGCAAGTCGTTAAACTTTCACGGAGTTCATATGCATAAAATATAACTGATGCGTGACGTAACGCAATCATTTTTTCTATACAAGTTTTACAATTTGTCAAAAGAAAACACACTTTCACAAACGTTATATATTATCATCTTGCATTTTGACATTTTTGTACAAATATTCTTTAAAAATATTTTCAAACAAATGTAATATTTGTTAATATATTACTACCGTGCTATTTTACATTATAGCTACTCGGAAAAAAATGAAAAACGTGTGATCATGAATTATATATGAGTCACACGGATATGATTTTATATGATTATATAAAATTTTATTTAAGTCAGAAGTGATTTCATGTAATCGTGTAAAATCAAATCCGAAATTTGACGCGATCTGATCACTTTATACATATAATCTTATATGATCATATGTTTCTATTGTTTCTCGAGTAGTGATGTTTACTATATCTTTCTATATTGAATCGAAAAAGCAGTTAGATTTATTTTCGTATTTCCTGCTCAAACAGAGAGAATTTTATTTTTCCAGAATAAAACAAAATAGTCGAAGAAATCTCTGTCGGGTTTCAATTTTTTAAGAATTGAGCAATTTTTTACAGTTACTATTATCTCGACTATAATATTGCACTATATATATTTGCAGTTCAGAAGGTGAAAAGAACTGATAGAAAAGAAACAACAGACAGGAATAACACTATCAGACTACGATTTGGAAGTCTACATATATAGACACACAAACGTTCTAAACTACGTTTAGGTCTAACGTAACTTCTCGTATGTTTGTTCTTGTTTGTTCTTCAACAACGCGCTTTATAATTGATGTTACTTGTCGTTAACAATAGTCGTCATGATGTTATACTGAATGTCTGAAAAAGTTTGATACAACCAAAATGTGAAGATAGATTAGGGTGTCAATTTGAACAGAAAAACATTTACCAAACCAGAAAATTATTCACCATTTAGCAAACTTCGCAACATTTATTGAGCTGGTAATTAATTAATATAAGTCAATGAGCGTGTGAGAAGCAATAGTTCGAACTTTGCGTGTATGATTTTTAGTTGTGACATTCAGCTTTTTGCGAGAAAATATTACTACGCTCGCTTGTTTACTTCGCCTCTTGTTGCTAGAATATTGTATGATATAAGCCAGGTTTTTTTACAATTATACACCTATAGAATCCGGACCATCGTATTCCACGCTCATTGGCTCACATTCATTAATTAATAACTCAAATATTGTAAATTTTGTGAAAATGGTAAATGACATTTCTGTTTAGATTTATTCAATCTATCTTCGCACTTCGGCTGTGTCAAAAGTTTTCGGACACCCTATATAGGCGACTCTAAATTCTCTTACGTGATAACAGTTTTCCGGGAAAGCGTACGAGAAGCAATTTACAAGTATCTGAAACGATGCATAGATAGCGAGATAGTAATCACATTGTTGTCGTCGTTGACAAGTTTCATCCTTCAGAAGAACAAGTGTCAAACACTGATTCATTATAGCACCTAGTGTTCGTGTGACAGCTCGCCAAAATAGACGCTCTCAATGATTTTTGACAATGCATCAGCTCACACACTGTTGCAATGGCCAAAATTTACGATCGAGTTGGTCTTTGAATTGCTGCTTTATTTGTTTTATTTGCTATTATATATATTTTCGTACAATTTTCATTTATTTCTAAATCTGAAGAAATAAATTAACGAAAAAGAATTTTTGAGCCTTAACAAAATCACCGATGTCGCAAATGACTATTTTGAAAAGCTCGAGAAATCGTTCTATCGAAATAATATAAATGCTCTCGAGAAATGCTGGTCAAAATATATTGAAGTAGAAAACGACAACATTAAAAAATAAATACATTTCAACTCAATAAATTATTGTTTACTTTTTTGTTTCGGATATTTATCATTTGTTTCTTACATATATAGCTTCGCGTTGCAATAAGTTATAACGGATACTTTTAGATAGAACTTCCGGAGTAATATTTTGTAGGTAGGTGTTGTCGCTACAGTTCGTTAGGCAGTAATACAGTTCCAAGATTCGTATCTCGTAGAATTTATAAATCCTTTATATCGTACGATGCGCGCGGCGAGAGAACATTGTAAGAAACTTAATAGAACACGATTATACAAATATATGTAGCACGATAAACCTACTAAATGACTTTAAATAAATTAAAGTATATATAATAATGATTTGAAATAATTTATGTAAATAAGAGACACGACATTTACTCGTTCTAGTCTCAGTTCTGGGATGTTTACAAACATCTGATGTGTTTGATTTTACGTCCGTGATATGCATTGATATATTAATTATCTAATTTGCGTACACATACACACACATTTGACGACGCAGATGCCTGTTTTTTTCTTTATATAGGTAATAATAACAAATATACTTGCTTTTATTATATTTGCAATTATCAAACACATTAAATGACGCAAACGTGTAAATAAAAGTTTCAGGTCACTGTAGTAGATGAGTGTACTAAATGTGAAGCAATTATTGCGAATTTTACTTTGTCTACGTTTTTTCAAAATATATTTATGTACATTTACATTGAGGAAATAATTATAACTATTAAGAATTTCTGAAAATAATTTTTGGATTTGTGTTCGCGTTAGTGTTATTTTTATACCGACGTTTTGCGAACATTTTAGTTTATTTTATCAGAACAAGAGCAGTCTTTAAGATATTTTTGGCTAAATATTTCTTTTTATAGCGTTAGATTGCAGAATAGCAGATCTACCTATTGCAGTTAGGTAGCAGAGAAAGATAATATAGTGGAGCAAGTATTGCGTGGTCAGAAAATGTGATAAATTATAAACTCGGAAAAATAAATTGCCATAGTAGGCTGATCATTTGTTATTACATTTCTCTACCACTTTCTGCACTACATTATCTCTCTCTAGCACTTTTTTGGTTTTTAATTAAGCGCTAAAAAAAAACATCTGGCCAAGAGTATCAGGCTGCTCTTGAACTTTGATAAAGTAAACTAAAAATCATTCACAAAACATTAGTATAAAAATGACATTTAACGAAATTCTCAAACTCAAAAACCATTTTCCAAAATTCTTATAACACATCGAAAGCACATCAAACTAATAAAAACTAGATACATATATATAGTATAAGAGACTGAGATCACAGTAGAGCAGTATATATTATGTTATCATATCATATCAATAAACAAATTTAGAAATATCTAAAATGAGATAGAATATTCAAGAATGTTTTTAAACAATAAACTACTCTACTATCAAAGGAAAGAAGAACATTTTTTAGAGATTTAAATATTTCATAATTTAAATAGTGTTTATGAAAAAAGAGAGAATCTATATTGAAATTGTTAGCTTCAAGCACCTTCAACGATTCTCTGCGTTGCCTGATTCGCCAGGAATCTTTCGACTCTTTCTCTAAATTCTTTGCTAGATTCCGGCAAAGGTAATCGCGCTCCTGGACCAGTAAGACCATGCAAGTTGTTAAAATTCGGATTATCCGACAGCCGACGATCGTGATCCAAGATATCCGGCGGTTTGGGTGCCGGTGGTTTTCTCTTCTGCACTGGTAATCTCATCACCGTCTTCGACCCGGCGATGATGTTCCCGCTATCCGGACTCATCATTCCGCGGAACGCGATTTTCGCGCTGAGTAGCGACCAGAAGATCTCCAGAAGAGACGCCATCAAGACATTGAACGTCAACAGCATTCTTGTGTGCGATGAGTTTTCGTACTGTTTCCAAAAATCGGTTTCATCTTTTGTCAAATCCGTAGATTTCTGCGTAATGTTCATTGCGTCTTCGTCCTGAAAAACTTCTCTCGATATCAATTTTTCCTCAAACATCAAAGACGCTTCCGCTTTAAGATTGTCGTAACTGCCATTTCTAACATCGTCGTGATAATCTGACATATTGAGTTCGATGCTGAAAGGTTCCGAAGTCACAGGTGATCCAATAGATTCCTCCAATCTCGATTCATCATTTTTGGTGACGTTGAGCGAATTGTACACGATATCTCTCACATGAGCGCTCATGTTCGTGACATTGTCGGCGTGATGAAATTGAACGTTCGGTGTCTTCAATGACCACATAGATCCTCCGGTACTATCAGAAGCTGCCGTAATGTCGAGGATCGTAAGAACAAAGCAGAGAATTGCTGCTATCAAGGAAAAGAGGCTTCCGTAGAAGAAAATAGCGATGTTCCGATTGATGTACCAGCGCCGCCAAGCGAGGAGCCCCGTCACGAACGGCACCATACACGCAACAGACAGAATCGGACCCTGCAGGGACAAGGCGAGGGTTCCCAGAAGGAGGGACAGAACACCTAGACCGAAGTGGACCAAGGACAGGCCGCCGACCGTTGAAGCCGAGTAACGACGCTCCGATGGATATAAAGACGACAACGGCGGTTTTGTCTTCACTTTTATTACGTACACGCTCTCCATCATTGCTCCTCCGGCGATTCACGAGTTCGCTTAGGTGCGCGAATCGATTCTTGATACGATGGATCCGATCAAGAGAAAGAATTACGTTAGATGCGCGAGAATATTACACACAGCGTTTGAGATAAAATTATGTAATTAATAATTCACGTAGTCCATTGTTCTGTTCACATTTTAGAAACGTTTGCATTTTTTGAAGAATTCCCGTTACGTAGTGTCACTGAACTATCCAAATTGGTATTCCTTACTACTTTCCACCTTGCACTGTGTTAAGAATATTTGGATACGAATGAGGTGCAGTTGTTGATCACTACGTTGTAAAAGCTGTTTGAAAATAATAAAAATAAGATGTTTATATAAGCGCACATTTCAAATTAACTAAAATGATATGAGAAAGTTGTTTGTTAATTTGTTAACTATTATTGGATTTTGAAAATAATATCCATTCTTATAATATGCAACATAAAAGGTAAAAGTTATATTGTTATTTTTATCAATTTTAATAAATCGAATTTTAATAAATAGAACATCTTCAATGTTCAATCTGAAGACCTTAATGTCTCTGTAACTTTTTTATAATCGCGCTATTTAGTATGTGCATCATTGCGCAATGTGTGTCCGATGCAATATTAACTAGTGATCTGATCGATTGGAAAGTAACTTATAAGAATTGAAAAACGCGCGCTGGAAATCAAACGAGATATCCGATGTGCGACCGCGACGATTTCACAGCCGCTCCTTCAACGTTCAAATTATTACCGCTGGATATTCAACCGATAATCGAGTTCATGCGGCTGAATCGAGTCGGGAGCGTTTAATAATTCGAATTTACCGGCAGGTACAGCAGAAGAAGCCAAATCGACTTTCGCGCTGCCAGCAAGAACGACCAATTATTGTAACTGTTCCTCGTTTGGCTTAATTGAAATTCTTGTCGGTCTCCGCGCGTGGATTTCGTTACTCGCGGCTTTCCGCGAGATAGGCATCTTGTGCAATTCGCGGATAACAATCATTCGCTCGTGACAGAATCCACAACCGGTCTCTTACAACACGCGCAACGATTCACACGAACAACATAATAAACATTTCTGTTAGTAAAGAAAAGATGTGACAAGAAATTTGTATTATCCTTCAGCATGTAAAACAAGTTTTGGCTAAAAGAAAAGTTAAACAATAATTGTAATAACAGTTAAAACTAAAGCGTTTAATATGAAAGTAAACAAATCTAAACTATCTCTTAGTAAATTTAATTTATATAAATTACATTGTTAATGTCAATAATAGTTTTTAGTCTTAATGGTTAGACGTCATCGCCGCGTCTGATCTTAGACTCTTCTCTTTCAGCACGTATTATGTAACTGATTACAAGACAGAGCAATTATGTTGCAAATGTGTGTGCTCTCGTTTCCTCGAACACTCTCGTTTCCACGTCAAACTAGCACGTAAAACCGTGAGAATAGTGAAATTTTCATTGAAATATTGTAAATTCGTGAGATTGTGCTCTGAGTGAAATATATGATAATTCAACGGAACAAGAGATTCTGTGTGATTAAAAGTCATAAAATATTAATTCTTTCTATATAAATTGTATAAAAGTATAACATATAAAAAAAGAGAAACTAAACATATTATAATCTTTAGAAATAAATAGTACTACACATGTTTCTGTGTAAATATTAATTCAAATAATATTTTGTATGTAATTTTGTTAAAAAATATTGTTTTTCAAAATCCAACACGTAGTGATAATAATCAGTTTATTGATTAAGTAAAATCAGACTAAGCGTTATTTCATACAATAATTTTCACTAATTATGATTAATATTAGTTCACATTTTTTGTAATAATACATTTTAACGTTATATATTTAAAAAGATATTTATGTGTGACTTAAAATAACTACAAACCTTATGTCAATCTTATCTCCTTAAAGATATGTACATTTGTTGTGACAATACACATATATTTACATTTTACAAATTTATTATCTCAGTTTATTTCTTCAATAAATTTGCTTGCTGATTACTTCGCGCAACAATATCAATTCAATTAGTTCTGATCGCAAATTTATCACATTGTGATATTATATCTGACAGGTATAAAACTAGCTTCTGGCCGAGTTGGTATTGAAAGTACGAACAATCAGCATCTTCGTGATAACTAAACTCGCGATTCGCGACTTAATAAGTGATCGTTCTCGCGCGATACCTGAATAACGACTGAACTACGAAGACTAGTCCTCGTTGAAATTGCTACGAACAACCCTCCCACGCAATCGACTTGAACAGTGAAAGGGACATCGAAGAGCAGCGCCGTATCTTCGACTTAAAGTTTAAGTTCGGTTCACATCATTAACAGTTGGTAATTCTCGTGCAGTAAAACGATTTTGAACGATAAGAACCAGATATCATCCTTATCCTCCTTTCACTCTTTTTCGCTTACGTATATATATTTATACATGAGTCAAATAAGAAACAAAAAAAACAAACACTGTCGAGTTCTTTCAGAAGTCGAACAAGTTTCTTTTTACTTTATCTTTGCTTTAACATATTTTAAAAAAAATCAACATATTGAGGCAGAATTTTGTAGTTGAACTTTTTTATCTGTTTTTGAATTCTTAAGTTTGGAACGGCGATTGGTCGATATCACATGTGTTTCTCACGAAAACACAATTCTTCCGCTTATGAAAGACCCGTTATAATCGAAGGTAATAAGTCTCAGAGAACAAACGTAAACGCCAGGGTCTTTGCTGAGAATCATGCATGAGCTAATCTTTATTGTTGGCTGCAGAAAAACACACGTGAGTTCGACACGCGACCTTTCCGTTCGATTATTGCAAGGAAGATTTTCGCAGACAACAATGTCTTTTCACTCAATAGAAAAATATTTATAAGAATAGAATAAATATTTATAACAAATTAAATTTATTTAAGATAAATTAAACTATCATCAGTCATGATTGAATTATGTAAATCGTGATTTGATTATATAAAAAGAAAAACAAGATTTTCTAGTTATATTATTTTTGACGTTATTTAAAGATTTAATGGACCGAGAAAGTAAAAGAAAAGTGGTTTTTTAGCATTAAAAATTATAGTTTTTAATTATCGAGGTCATGCTGTTGATTTGAATAAATGATAGTAAGATAAAAGTGCAAGTATCGTGATAAGACAGACCGGAGCACAAGGTGACATTTAAGACAAATTATTTAAAAAAACAAAATGTACGCAATATTATGTAATATTGGGTACATTGCATAATAATCAGATCAGATTTAGCTTTAAGAAAACAAATATTAATTTTATACATCTTTATGGAAAAAACAGTTCTTTAGTAAACACGATTGCGCAAATTTATCAACTTGCGCCATATTCAGGATTAATTGTTACGTCTTTTATATAGAGAAATTATAAAGTAAATAATTACTGGTTTTATATTTTATTATAATTAATGAAATTGGGATGTATTATTATATATTAAAGATAACTATAAAACATTAATGATAATTTATTTTATTTTAACTTATTTTTATAAATGATTTTTAGAAACTCTTACTAAGTAAGTCTTTCAAATAATATTATAGATAATACTTTAATGTAAGAAAATATAATGACTTTTAGAAATGTACTTTGAGAGAGATAACACGTCGAAAGGCGATTACTTTCACATGCACATATAATCATGCGACTACTAATTCTCGTCTCATGTCAATTTACTCCATTTTAATAAAAGATATTATATTTATAAACTATGTTATATATTACATTTATAAACTATGTTGCAATGATGATTAAATAAATATAAGAGAAGCGATCTAAAACTATCATATTTTTTATATCTAAAATAAAAAATTGCAATCAAGAACTTTTAAACTAATAATTAAAAAATAGAAATAAGAAAAACTAACTTGCCATGTCTAATTTTACAAAAATGCTTGTAAATAATACATGCCATGTTTTTAATAAAAGGTATTCTTTACATATGACTAACACGATAGTAGCAATTTACATAATAAAGAAGAATATTTTCCTGTATTTAGTAAGCAAGATATTAGTTGTGTGACATTTAAGCCAGTGTAGTAAACTAAAGTTTTGGTCTTTTCTATCTACATCTTGCTATTGTTTATACAAATAAATTGAAGTGAAAATGCAAACGATCAGTATATAGTTTACAATTAGTTGATTTCTGGAAAACTAATAATCAGAAAATTCCACACAAGATCCATCTAAACATATTCAAATTTTTATGAGACGGTTATCATAATTAAGTGATTGTTATGCTTTTAATTAGAATAAAACGACTCTCTCTCTTTTTCTCACACATGTTCATCGCAGTTAATCAGCGAGAAATTCTAATCTAACTAAGTTTTTTTTATCGGTAAAAGTAACCAATTTACTTTTATAGCTAAACTTGTTATGTATCTACTTTAATTTTAAATTATCATTTATCTTCATATATGAGGATATCATGTCTCTATGTATATGCATGAGCGCTAGTAAACCAATTGTCGAAAATCGTCAAGAACAAATAGAAAATTAAATTTTGAAAAAAACTATAAATGTAAATGATATGAAAAACAATTAAATTATTGAAACTTTGTAACTTTGTGTAGACAGTAATTATTATAGTAACAATTGCTCGCTTCAATATTAAGTAAAAAAATCACAGAAAATATTACTGTGTATAATTAAAGTTATATGCAATTTGTGTCAAAAATGCAACACGGACTTCAGCAATTTGCGCCAAAGTAGTACACACGAGAAAGTAATAACCATGTCTCTTTTAAGCTAATTTCCTTACGACAGTGATCATACAGTGATGGCATTATGATTGCTCAATGTGAAATGCTAAAAGTAGTATTATATTATTATCGTTGTGTAATTAGAGGGACAATCGAGAAAGTGGAGCCTCCAATAGCATTACGCGTTACACCGTAACGGTGCACATCTCAACATGTCGCAAGAACGGCAAAAAAAATCGAAGACTTTCACGAGCTATGTTGGCAGAGCAAAATCACTCCATCATCGATAAATCGTTCGTGCGGAAATTAGGTATCGCGCGAGTTTAGCTTTCCAGAAGATCGAACTTCGCGTCAAGATACAAATCGTACTTGCTTCCGGCAAAACCGGATCGCGAACTCGCTCGAGCGGATGATTGTCGCGATTGAACGATGAAAGAACAGGAGAAATCAAATCCTACACGATGCGTGACTCCGCGAAACGGGATAATCGCGATCTCCGTGCGGTTGCACGAAACAAGTCACGGAAAGCGTGCGTGCTCGTTGATAGCATTCATTTCGGATTTAAACGCTGTAATATACCTGGCATATATTTTTTTCTTAATCTTTTTCTCTCAAAAATATCATTATAAATATAATCACAAGAAGAAGGAGATAATATTTTTTTTTATAACATTGGTAAATACATAAAACATTGTTAAAAAAATTTTGCAAAAGTAACATAAGAGACTTTTAACAAAATATCACTTGCAAAAAGCGCTCGCGATATAATTACTCGGAATACAAAGGTTTGTCAAAAATTGGGAGGCTCAGGTTTCTATCGATATCTTCGATTCTCTATCGAAGTGTTTCCTCGAGTACTTTCCCCCGTAAAAAGATTCCGAAAGAACGCGCTTAGGTGACGTCGTCGTACGGGAGCCACGCGCCTCGTTTCGAATACTTTCATTAGAGCTGACTTTTTGGCCGTTAACGTGTCGGTACGTGCAAGAGTGAGAGAGTTAGATATTCGACGCACGAGAAAATAGAACGAGATAAACAGCTTGCGTTTGTGACCAAAACGCATTTGTGTTGGAGCAGCTGTTATACTATCGAGGCACGCGTCTCTCAACGGTCGCGGCAGCTGCTCAGAAAATTGGCTATAGTATACTCATTCAAAGTTCTTTACATCGCGTCGTTCGTATTTACATGCAAAGATAAGTAAATAAATTATGGATTTTAAATATGACAGTTTTATTTATTTTATCCGCTCAAATTTGAGTTTTATGGTACAAAATTATATGAGTCGTAGTTTAAAAATACAATTAAAAACACAAACAATTTATTATAGACAAAAAACAATGTAGTTTAATATTTAAGAGACTGATGAATATAAGAGAAAAATAAGACGCGCAGATAAGATATGTTTTACATTTTAAAACTTTCGAGACAGTTCGTACAATGCATTGTTTAGCCAGAAGCTTTTCACGAGAGAGAAATATTTGTTTGCTTCTACATTTGTTTTTAATTACTTTTATAAATATTTGCAAAAAGAAAACATTTTCCGATAGAATATTATTTCATGGAAAAAAATTGCATAAATATATAAAATTTTATTTTTAATTATAACTCTCTTTACACATTAAGACACACAGTTATCTCGGTAGACATTTAAAGTTTAAATTACTCCGCGACGGCAACGGTCGAAATTTTGAACGGAGCATACTGTAGTTTGAACGGTCCCCACCTCATGTGAAGGGACACCGGGCCCGTATTACGTGAAACGCCGTGACAACCCCCCGAATAACCGCGCATATACAGGAGGGAACGCATGAAGAAACGCCCTTTGCGCATCTGCTGTTAAGGGAACCCGCGAGGCAGTTTATTCAAGGCAACGGTCGCGAATGCATCGCGTGGTTAACGAAAGTGCACAGTTCTCGCAACACAGTGAAACATTGATGATTAAGAAATTTGTGTAAATTGTGCAGCAAAATTTGCAAACTTTAATTACAAAATATTTTGCACAATGCAAATAGTAAATTTTATATTGAAGATTTTTCAATTTCTTTTTTACGTTAGCGACATGTTTTGAATCTATTCTAGATTCTACGACACTTTCGGAATTTTGCCTCAGTTTTCTAAAATGTGCTTTCAGTGCTTGAAAAATATTTAATGACTATCTCAACGATTCATAAGATTATATAAATTTTCTGTTCTGTTCACGATATATGACAAAAGCAAAAACCACTATTAGTATTTATACATATTTGTGTAATACATTAAAACAAAGTAGATTTTTATTTTATATAAAAAACTAACACTTTGCGCGAAAGCTTTCTTATTATTCCGTCACATCCAAGCTCACTTATTTGACTAATAACGTCTCAGACTACCATTTAACTTTCTATTTATGTCCATGAGTCAATGCCAGATTCATTCCTTCAAATCAGACTCGACGTTATTAGTCTAAACTAACTCTTTCCTTAAACCAATCTTCAACATTCATCGCAAAGATTTCGTCGCGAGTCTGCAATAATTTCTCGTCAGTCAAATGTACAAACGTACCGTCCGATGAGGTAATTGCGCGAACGAACTGCCATGGCACAACCACCTGAAACAGCGCCGGTGCATTGTTACACCAATCCGTCGTTCTGTCGCCAATCGGAGTACATACCGGACGATCATGCTCATACCGACTTGCCGCCGCCGCCGCAACAATTTCAAGGAAGCGACGATTTACCGCCGCCTCCGCCACCGTTACAATTGCAATGTCACACCGCCGGTCAGAGCAATCCGGCCTTCCAAACCCCGCTAGAGACGCTGGACGTGTGCGAGTCCCGGAACCGATATTGTTATCTGGAGGATAGCAGAGCTCCCGTGCACAGACGGTACTCGAGTCTTCCGGTAGAGGAAACTCGCGTGATTTACAATCAGTCTTCGCGATACGAATACATACAGCAGGAGGAAACGGAGAGGGGCCAGTTGGCGCGCAGAGGATCGTCGAGATACGAGTTTATTCCGCAGCACCAGCAGGTGCAACAACGTTCCGCAACAGCAACCAACCAAGACGATCGAGGTGGGTCTCAGACGCGAGCGTGTCGCGGCAATGCCGGCAGATACGCGCTTATACCGGGTGAGCAAGACTACCAGGATGATGGACCGCAATGGAGCAATGTCAAATCGGCGCCTCAGCATATTAACACTCCGCAGGGTGATTACTTCAATCGTCTTTATCTCCTTTTAAAGCTACAATATATTCTAAAAATATACATAGAAGAGATTAAACGCGATTAAATATATGTTGAAACGTTTGCTTGAAATTTCCAATACAAGTTTGCGATGTAAAACAGGCCGCTACACCAGAGTACCTTTGCAAGAAGAACTCCCGCCGGCACTTCCCGAAAGAAACTTGCAAGAACTCTCGATCTCGCCGAAGAATAACTTAGCCACACAGAAGTTACATGAAATATTATCCACGCCTAGAAAGCCGAGATCCAGATCCGAAGAGAGGACGTTATCGCCGAGAAGACAACAGTCCTTCAATCAAACCGGCACGCCTCAAAGAAGAGCGCTTACTCCCGGTGGATCTCCGAGCGGTACGAAATACAGTATTAAACTTTTTTGATTACGCGTACAAAGCTAATTTATTGCTTCAGCATTTAATTTTCTGTTTGTCATAGTTTTAATTAGTTGTCTATAAGAGGGAACGTTATTTTGTTTATTTCTTCAGGCCGTACCTTTAGCCCAACGCGCTCAACTCCTCAAACCACACCTCAGAATCGAGGCTCCGTAGCCGCGGGACTTCAAACGTCGACGCCGAATAAAGAATCTTCGGCACGAAGATGCCTTCCGCTGCTGGAGAACTCGTCTCGACAGCAAGACGTTTGCCCGGCCAGTAACTGTGGTCGGCTTCGTTACATAGGCACTGCTCCGGTCGATTTAATAAATTTGAGTCACAATGAACCACCGCCTCGTTATGCGTATACAGAAAGCGGCTTGGAATCCATGCCGATGATGTCAGGATCGCCTAGATATCAAATGGTACCCGCCGATCAGAAAAACTATCACAGCGTGGAAAGCGCGTTTATGGCGCGAACTGCCGTCGTAAGTAATACCATTGCTAATGCAAAAGAGAGACTAATCCGATGATACTGTTCTAAGTGATAGAATAACTCCGATATATAAACCGCATTTCATCAAAAACTTAATTTATCAAATATTATTTATAGTCCAACAAATATTTCATTTTAAACATAAAATCTTAAATCAAGCGATAAGACTTTACAGTCATACTTTACGCTGAATATACGTGCAAAATATATATTTTTAATATTGTGTTGTGATTTTAGCTTTTTATTGTTACTATTAATAAAACTATTGTCTATTTAATAGATTTATTAGCGTGACAAGTAACGTAAACATATTTTACGAATACATAAAACGATTACGAAGTAAAAAATAGTTTAACGGTTATTTTGCTATATATATATATATATATATATATGTAACATAAAAGCACGTAACAAAGTGATTGCACACAAATTGTTCTTACTCTTTCTATTTTCTCTGATCTTTACGACAAGCCCGTGGCCTAAATACCAGAGTTATAAATACCCTACATAATAAATACCAAGAAATAAATAAGTATTTAACTAATAAAAATGCGATTTCTGCGATTTCTTTTAGGTGCCTCCGTTATCTCCGCCCAACAGCGACGCGAACACGACCATGGCGAGTGGTTTGGAAAAAGGCGAGAGAAGAAACGCACCTATTTTACTTATGCTGGTCGGTCTTTTGACTTGCGGTCTCGCTCTGTATCTGTCCTGGACACAGGGAAGAAGGTGGAATTTTTTAATACTTTGTGTGTTTCTCACTCATCACAAATCTCAAGAAAAGAATCTTCCGACTATGTAATGATGATATTCAGTAATGAAAATAACGCGATGATGACAAATTTATTGAAATATATATTTTTCTCACACATAATATTAAATAATTGAGATTTATGTAATAAAATTAGAAATGTGATTATTTTTAGATATTACTTTGATAGCGCAGTAGGTTGCGGTGCTTGCTGCGCTCTGGCCGGCGCGTGCAGAACTTTAAGAAAGACGTGGACAGGACTTGGCCTGGCCGGACTGTCGGCATTGAGTTGTGCCGGTCTTCTGTTGCTTGCTGCTAAATCTCCAAAAGAAGGCACGCCTCTTCACGATATCACAGCCGGTGCATTATGCGGCGTATCAGTCTTAGGTGCTGGTCTGGCTCTGTTGGCACTTTTGAAGCCGAGATGCAGCTTCGGACGTCATAGACGAGTTCATTCTTGGATACCAAGATTCTCTCCTTAACTTTCAAAACCGTTCCGACATTTTTCACGAATACGCTGGAATTGTTTTTTTCAAAATAATACCAATAATATGTAAAAATATAAATGTAAATTAGATAAAATGTATCATTGGACAGAAATAACTTTTTATTTTATGAATATTTATAAGTAAATATTTATAATACAAATATATTTAGTAAAACAATTTAAACAATGTTATATAAAACTCAATTATAAGTACACATATATTGCATACAACTGTGCTATGTACGATATGTAAAACAAAATTATCAAACTATACAAATCTAGTTGACATATAAAATAAAAATACAAATCTAGATTGAAGTATAACATAAAAATTAATTTGTAAAGAAAAAAGAAAATTTATTTAAAAAAACATACATTTCCTTTAGTATACAATTACTTTTAACGTATTCTAATCTAACATGATATATCATATAGATATTTATCGTAATATCTGATTCCTTTTTGATATATCAGTTATATTTAACAAAATGTGTCATTCACGGATTTTTTAATAAAAAGTGCATTTTCTTACTATTTTTTTTAGTAAAACCATTGCTGACAATAGTTTATCGAGAAAACAAAATAAATAATAATATTTTATTTGAGCAAATAATTTGCTAAGATAAAATTTCACTTGTTGTTATTATCTTTCAGTTGTGTTGCATTGTTATGGTTAAAGTGATAGTTATCCCACATGAAGAAATGTGATTTATTTGTGTTTTATTTACACATACGCGATAGTATCTGGCGATACTACTAGAGACATAGACAAATATTTTAAGTGTCTTAGAAAAGTATGTTGAAGCTTGTGAGAAATGATAGATTAAAATTAAGATTGGTGCAAGTTTAGCAAAAGCGCCAGACACATACGTCTATCTTTGTCTCTCTTATCTCATCTAGTTTTGTTTTGGTTCGACTTCGGGTTCCGAGAGATGGCGCTACTTATCCGACAGCGTAGCGGCTGAGTAGTAGCTAAATTGAAGTTCGCTCATCGGCTTAATATCCTCTTATATATATATATAATCAGAACCTGTTTACTATTCGATTGTATATGTGTGTGTGTGTGTGTGTGTGCGCACGCGCGTGCGTATGTATGTATGTGTGTTAATAAATCATGAATATTTTACTTTACACTGAAGTTAGACAATAGAAAATCGATTGTATGATAATAAAAATGTGACTTACAATGTTAAAAAAACAAAACATATGTTCATTTTTCTGAATCGATTACGACCAAAGAACTTTTGATTCGAACGATTTTGCGTTCTTCTATTAAAAGCAAAGAAAAAATAAAAGACTTCTGATAGAAAATCCAAAAACTTACATGGTTAAAACTTAAGTCAAAAACTATAATACAAAGAAACCAAATAGTGCCGTAAGAAAATTTTAATATTTTGCTCAAAAATATATATTGGGTTGTTCGGAAAGAGATCGTACCGTTTTCTAATAATTGATAACATTACCGTCAATGACACTCTGGCCAAGATGTGTACAGACGGCGTCATTAATTCGAAGAATAGGCGCGGGGATCGAAGAGCAAGCGGGACGGTTGCTCGTAGCGCCAATGGGCGCCGTACTAACTAACTAGTAGCAGTTGGGTGTCCACAACTGGACACTCGATTTTGGGACTAATGGATTAATGGATATTTGGATCAACTGGACTTTTTATGTGATCCCCGCGCCTATTCTTCGAATTAATGACGCCATCTGTACATAAGATATCGCGCAGATACTAATAATATTGAACAGCACTACACGTATATGAGCATTTATAAAAACTACATTATGTGAGTATATAATAAGTCTTTAATTTGTTTTTAAATTGTATTTAAAAAAACGCGTTACTTGCCAAATAATATGATATCATAATAAAGAGAATATAGTGTTACGTCTTGACCAAAGATATGGTTGATGCAAGAGGAAGTAGAAAAGGAAGTAGAACCGTAACAGGTCAGTTTTACTACGTAAGTAGTTTGGTCTTGACACAATAAAAAAATCGGTTGTGCGGGTCGAGCGAGATAGTTTACAAGTTTTAGTTTACGAAATCAACTGCTTCGGATATTACTCTGTCAAACGTAAACTCTCGCCCGTCGATTTCTTTTTAAGTTTGAAACATTAGCTTCAATTACTAAGAACAGAATCTGACAAACAAAAACCAAAATAAATATCAAAGGAGAAGAAGAAAAAATAATACATTTCTCTTTACTTCGGCTGTGCAAGCAGCGCTATCATTTTCTCATCACTTTGCGGTAGATAGCACGTTGCGTTTTTTTTTTAAGTGGTTTCCCCGGGAGGCTTAATCCACTCTCATTATTTAATTCAAGAACTGTTCAAAGTGCCGTTCTTCTTTTCGTGTACAAAGGTCGGCTCTTTGAATAATATTGCGCGTCACACGATATGCCATTTCTGGCGTAATGGTATCAAAGGCCGCAACAATAGCTTTACGTACTTCGTTTTCTGTATCATTACACTGATATTTCACTGATATTTTACAAATTTTTTATGTAATCCCATACAAAAAAAATCTAAAACATTCAAATCTGGCAAGATGATAGCAACACGGCGGGCCACGGTACGGCCGAGAAAAGGCCCTTATTATGCCGAGTCCTTATTATGTCGAGAGACACGTGGCCGCCGTGGGATCCATTTGGAAAAAAGAGTTGAATTTCTGAAGAAGGCCGACGAGCGTAAGGATTGACTCTCTCTCGCATATTTTCTTTCGCGATTTTATATTTTATATTATAATCATATATAAATACATAAACGTATGTACGATAGTATATGATTTCTTATATTTATATATGATTATATAAAATCAGATCGCGCCAAATTTCGGATCTAATTTTACACGATCATATAAAATCATATCCAACTTATATAAAATCATATTCGACTTATATAAAAGTTTATACGATCATGCAAAGTTACATTCGATCCACATATGATCTTATATAATCACATGATTTTCTATTTTTTCTCGGGATATTAAAAACAAATATATTCTTCTTTATTTCAGTCCAGCAATTTATTGTAATTTAATCAAGCACCACAAAATTGTAAGATTATTATTAGCGAGTTTATGTGCACTATGAAAGTTCTATATAACAGCTTTATTAAATTAAATATTTAAAAACTTTTGTAAAAAGAATATTAAGAACTGTTCCGAGCATACATGATATTACATGACACAAAGTTAACAGAGATAAATTAGATTAAAAAATAGTAAGGAAGAATGAAATGATGTAATTCTTACTTATATGAGAATTTTTTTTTATTAATACACTTATGTAAAATTAATTTTGGTTTTTTAAACTTGTTACAAAGTCATGCGGCGTATGATTATTTTAGGTTTAAACAAAATTATTAAAACAATTATCAAAAATATTAAATTGTTATTTACCGATTTAAGTAAATAAGTAGTTTTGATCGATAGTCTAGACTACTTCCCGTGTCTAAACATGTAGAGTCACGACGATCAAAGATCATGGTCATGATAAAATCATAATGTCAAGTTCATTTTGATTAAGCATTTCGGCAGAATGACAATCATTTTCGTTTATTGTTTTCTCATATAACATTTGTTTAATTAATGTTTTTATTATTTAACATAAAAATAAACTTATTTTTTTTTGTAAAGTAATTGATACATTAAAAATACAAAAATATATTAAATGCTCGGTTTTTTTAGCAACTTCTTATTAATCTTGTAAGTTTATTATTTTTAAATATTTTATTGTTTTATTTTTGTACATACTATTTCTTTGTTTTTTTAAATTCGGTTTGTGTTAGATACATTTTCATTGCCTTAATTTCGACGTGTGAGTAGGTAAGTGTTTTACAACTTATGTGCGAATAAATACAATTATACTTTGATTATATTGATTTATATATAACATAAATTATAATTTATATATAACATATCAAGACGCTACCGTGTATTTTATCTCGAGTTTTTTCGCAACGATTTTTTCATATAAAATATTTCATAGTATAACACTAATAAAAAATGTAACTTTACTTGTCTTAATAAATATCATTACAAGCTTTTAATTGCGAGAAGTGCAAAGTAAATAGGTTCAATCAATCCAGAGATTTAAAATATCACACCTCAAAATGCAAGAATATGTCACGAAGATTCTTAAGATTCAGTCTCACGTACACAGAACCGCACACACACACATAAAACGCGTTACGCAAACCGCGTTCAAGTCAAACATATTCAGCGCGTTCATATATTGATATTTGCATATATTGTGAATAAATAAGTTTTAATTTTTTTTTGTATCATGCTATGTTAACGCTTCTATTCAGTGTCTATCAACCTGTTATTAAAAAAACGTTATTACGTCTAGAACAGACAAATGCTGGGAGAAAAATATTGGCTATATTTTTAATGACAAATTTAAAAATGTAACTGTACATTCCGTATCGACGGAATGAGAGAAACTAATAGAATAACATGTGCATACATAGACAGCATATAGAACAGAGCACTATCCGCGTTATTGTATTCCGTCGCTACGGCGCGACAGACTGGGCTGTCCTTACGCTGGATGCACGCTGATTAGCGAATCTTTATTAATTAATATCTCGTTAATTATTGCGAATCTTCCAAAGTGATATAGGACTTTTCGTCTTAGAATAACCCCTTCTACCTACCTACGAGCGATGAGACGGCAATTACGGGACACTCTGTATATACAAAATACGCGACAAACATCTAGCGTATAACTCTTATGGCCGAAGATTTTATGAATTAAAATATTGAAGTTCTTTTGTTCATATGTGTGCTTCTAAGACAGAAGTTAACAAGCTAAAAGATAAGAATAATATTTTATATTTTGAACAGTGTTTTTAAGAAATTTGTTAATATGATTTTAGCGAGACGAGAAAAGGCAAGATGGGGTAATAAAAATGCGCGTTATTTCCTCTTGCTTTACATAGACGTATAAATAAAAATCTAAAAAGAAAAAAAACGCTAAACCTGAAACTAAATCTAAAAAGAAAAAGAAAGAAGAAAAAAAGAAAAAATCATCATCAGACAAAGAAGACAACGAAAAAAGAAAACACTCCATGTTTATATTGTAAAGGGCTATATTTAAAATCTGTGGAAGATTGGATAAGGTGCTAAATTTGTGACGAATGACTTTATTGCTCGCAAATATAGAAGACGATGATGATAAAATTATACATGTGTGCCCTCGTTGTTAACTCAGTAAATAATGAATTTTGTTAATCGTTTGAGTCCCAGGAGGTATTGAAAAAACATTGTCGAAGAATCCCAAACAGCGCAACCGCGCTTTGCTCGAAATGTGCTGGGTTTTCTCGACATAAAATCTCAAAAGCGCGATCGAGCTCTGCTTGAGACTCAAACGGTTAATAAATACCCTATTTTCCTTACAACGATGCCCCGTCTCACCACACCCATGGAGCAAGATGGAGAGAAATAAACTTTTCTGAATTATTACTTTTTTAGTATAAAAAACTTTAAAGGGATGATTAATTTATAGTTTCATCAAAAGACAATTACTAAAGAATAATTCAGAAGTAAAATTGTTTCGTTGATTATAAAAATTTGTTTTATTCATCATTAAATCTTAACTTCCGTCTTGCTTGATCTTCCTCTAGATGTGTAAACAATGAATTCTATATATCTAATACATATTCCCTAGAGGTAACGTGGACATCCATTAGATGTTTCCAATTTCTATCATAAATGTCTAATAGATGTTTGGAATATTTTGTTCTGTGTCGGTTCTATATTACGCAGCAGTCTTATAACACATGGTTTTGCTCTAATACAGTTAGAAATAAAAGCGCAGAAATAAAACTATCTAACATTAAGATATATATACGTTTGATCAATTATTGGTAATTTTGATAAATATATCTTTGATAGTTATAAAAACAATAATATAGTTTTATTATTTGTATTGTATCTTTCCCGGAAATATAAATATAAATATAAATATAAATATAAATATAAATATAAATATAAATATATAAATGTAAATATATGAATATAAATATAAATATAAATATAAATATAAATTCCGCATTTATAATAAGAAGTCGATCTTAACAGTGACTGTAGTCCCTTTCTACTTTAGTCTGATGCTCGTTACGATCGGTAACAGTTCCGCGTCTAGATTCAAAGACGCGAATCAGTCACTCGTCGTCAGGCAACCGACAAATACCTTGTGGTCGCACCGTGACAATATTACATTTAGTAAAATATTTGTATTTGTATTAAAGTATTTGTATTAAAGAAAGTAAAACATGATCAGTGAATCATGTAGTGATATACCGGTCAATCCGGAAGAAATTGTTATTTCTGGCATTTCTGGTAGCTTTCCAGCTTCGAATGACATGAAACAATTACAAGAACATCTATTTAACAAAGTCGATCTTGTTACAAACAAGCATGGCCGATGGACATTAGGTAAGTAAATTATAATTNATTATGTAATTAATTTGTACAATATTTAACAATTAATAGAGAGTTTAAGCTTCTTTAAGTTTAAAACTAAACGCGAAATTTAAATGGTTGTAGAAGTCTTACACTAGATGTTTGTTGTGAAATAAATATACATCTATATTTATGTTTTTTTTTGTGTAAATTTATGCGTTTATGTAAGTTGTTGATAAAAAGACGCATTTTTTGTGAATTTTTATAATATGAAAATAATAGATATAATATGAAAACAATGAATATTTCTTACTGATATTAGCGATGTGTCTTGAAACTAAATCAAAGCGTACGCAACTCCTGAGAAAGTATATATGTAGTCTGTTGGTGATGATGTAATATTTATATGAAATCCAATTTTTTAATGATAATTTTGGTAAAATTGTCAAAATAAGTTTTGAAAAATTGAAAGAAAGATCGTTGCTGTTGTCCTTGAGAGTGTTGTAATATTAGCTGAATGCAGTAAAAAAAAAACAAGTACATTTGATATCTTTTGTTTTTGTCTTTCAGTTTGGTTCAGCATTTCAAACATACATCATAACCGATTCCTGTAGTACTATTTTATATATGTGATATTTTGTACATACAACAGTGTTGTTTTAAAATAAGTTTGTTAATTATTTACGAGAATTCTTGTAACATTTCTATAATATTATTTTATTATTATTTTGTAGTATTGTATTCGACTAAAGATGACTTGAATAAAGTCGAAACGTTTCGTAAACTAAACACACAAAGTCTATTCTATTGCATAACATCCTGCACTTGATTCAAATAAGCCTCTATTAATTAACTCATATTCTTTTGGAATATCCACTGTAAACTCAAAGAAACTTCTCATATCTTTATTTAATTCACGTGTAAAATTTACGCAAAAAGAAACATAAATATATATTTATTCTTTGTACAAAACATTATTATTTGCAACAAACATTCAGCATAAGGCTTTTACGACCATTCAAATTTCACTTTCAATTTTAGTTTTATACAATATTTGTATAGCAATATATAAATCAATATCATACTAGTATGGCATTGTACCATCTGTTATAGAACATCCGGACTTACCAGAGCGTATGGGAGTAATTAATAATTTAAATAAATTTGATGCGGAATTTTTTCGTATAAGTGACCATCAAGCTCATACACTCGACCCTACTATAAGATTATTTCTTGAGCATACTTATGAAGCCATTGTTGATGCAGGAATCAATCCAGTACAATTAAACCAAAAAAATGTTGCTACGATTGTTGCAACATCCTTATTAGAATCTCAAGAAAAATTCTTATACCGGGACTGGCAAGTATGTTTTTTGATATTTGGCGAAAGTTTGTCAAGAAATTTTCAAAATTTGTTTGTGATCAGGCTAGTTTGAATTGTTTGGGTAGTGTTGTATAAATCAATTGATTTTTTTTTTCAAACTTTTCGACTTTATTTGAAGTCTTCTTTAGTGGATTACATTAACCCCTTGGGTACATTTGACGTCTGAGACACGTCATTCACTTTTTTCCTCTAGGAGCGGATGACGTGTTTAAGACGTCAAACCAAAAATTAAACTCTTGGGTACATTTGACGTCTGAGAGACGTCATTCACTTGTTTTCCCTATGAGCGGATGAATGTACTGCTTTTACATACTACTCCAAGCAACCAAAAATTATATCCGTTCCACATGCAAATATTTTCTCAAATAAATCCGTACCCAAGGGGTTAAATATGTTTGTAACAGAGTTGGATTACAGCATATATTAATGTAGTTTTCTTTATGTTCTATAAAATAATTAAACATACTTCTTAAGTTGAACAATATCCAAAATCAATATTTGAACTCAACGACTATATAGAGCCAGTGCTGGTTGTTGTGCAATAAATAAATGTACTCGGATATGTTTCAAAATGTTTCGACTATATTTTAAGTCCTTATCAATTGAATCTATTGACAATGATAATTATGCACGACAATAGTTTCAGTAAATCTTGAAATGTAGAACTGTCATTATACACACACACACACATAAATAAATTTACATTTCTTAATAAAAATTAAACGTTACACATGATGTAATTGAATAAAATGCGATATAAAATTAATCGTCATACATCAACAATAAATATACAATTAGTTAATTGAGTATCTAATACAAGTCATACTTGCACAAACGTGAGATCGATATTGAGTCAAAGAAAATAGAATAGATAAGAAGAATAATAAGAAGAAAATAGAAATAGATCGAATTCAACAAGCAACACTGCTCTCTCTGCATGTTAAAATAGTACTTTTTCAAGTATAGAAATATATGCAATATATTTCAAGTATAGGAATATATGTCATGAATATATATCACGCAGTCCTCAGTGTCCCTCATTAAATTCAAATCAAGCTCTTGTTTTTTAATGAACAACGTTTCTGAAGTTTGTCGTTTATAATAATTCTGTTCTATGTCTAATATTTTAACTAAATTCCAATCAAAACTATGTCCCGTCTCAATACTATGTTTGGCTACTACAGACGTGTCTATCTGTCTTCTTGACGTAATTAATGTGTTCTTTTATTCTAGTTGTTAATTGTCTTTTAGTTTGTCCAACATAGGAAGATATACAATATTGGCAAAAAATACGGTAAACAACATTTTTTTGTTTGTTGAAAGGAACAAGATCTTTGTGTGTTTTAATGAATTTCGACAACTGGTTTAAATTCTGATATGTAGGTTTAATAATTTTGTTATTGATTTCTATATGGTTAAACTTGGTGTTGTAATTATGTATGTACAGAAGGACAAAAAAAAATTTTTCCACCTCTTCTTCGTCATGTATGAAACTACCAATGTGTTTGTTAAGTTTATTTATGAACAATGCTCTCAATCTTTTATTAATAGTATTGAAAATTAAACGTATTAAATAGTTATTTAATAAAATGTTAATTATAAATTGTAAATTTTTATTGTGATATTGTGGATCTGATAAAAGTATGGTTCTATCTACAAGTGAGTATATGGTACCTATTTTATGGCTAAGAGAGTTCATCATAAACAAATTGAAAATTCTTTTATTTATAATAATTGATTAACGTTATTATATGGGTAATTCTCAAAAAACGTAATCTCCGTGGACTGTAATCTCCGTGGTATATTGACATAAAAAACATAGATAAGTTTTTTATATTGCATAGTCACGTTCATTTTATATTCATATTACGAATGGTGACTTAAAATGGTATGAAAAAACATAATTCACCGCTATCCGTTAGTTAATAATAATTATTTTTTATCAAAACTGAAAGTTGAAATTTACGCGTTCACAGAGAATCACCCATATATCACTTCAAACATACTTATCTAACAATAAAAATGATAACTACATTTTACAATTAGATCAATGGTTTAAATATTGTTGGTTGTTCCAAAACCACGTTAGCAAATTTTATTTCCTATTGGCTGGATTTGAAAGGACCATCGTATTTAGTCGATACAGCCTGCAGCGCTAGTCTTTATGCTATAACGTTGGCTTATAATATCATCATATCTGGTAGATGTGAAAGCGCAATTGTAGCCGCTGCAAATCTATGTCTACATCCGACACCGACTATGCAATGTTTTCGTCTTGGTAATATCATTAGAACTATTTATGTTTTTCACTATATGTATATAGAAAAAGTATGTATATATGTTAAGAATGCACTTTCTCACATGTGATAATGATGATATTATATGTATGTGTGATTGTAGGTGTTCTGTCACCAACTGGTCATTGCAGACCTTTCGATGTAAACGCAAATGGATACTGTAGAAGTGAAACAGTATCGGTAATATATCTTCAAAAAGCGAAACATGCGAAAAGAATTTATGCTGTGTGCAAACATATTGCAATAAATAGCGATGGATACAAAGAGAAGAGAATAACATTTCCCTCGGAAGTCATGCAAACACGTTTATTAACCGAGTTTTATCAACATTGCGGGATATCGCCAACTAATGTGGAATACTTTGAAACGCACGGTACCGGCACAAAAGTCGGAGATCCTGTAGAAATTAATGCTATCTCAAACGTTTTTTGTAAAGATAGAAAGACACCGTTGTTGATTGGCTCCGTGAAATCCAATCTTGGTCACGCTGAAGCGGCCAGCGGTATGAATCAGATTGCTAAGGTAAAGAAATAAATTTAGTATTTTATCTACTTACACAAATTAATATTATTCAAACGTTTGATACTTTATAACTACATTTTGTACATTCTTGAAGGCGGTAATTGCAATGGAAACTGGCTTTATTCCACCAATGATCAACTTTACATCACCACGAGAGGACATAGAATCTCTAAAAAATGGATCTGTACGCGTTGTTACAGAACCAACGCGTCTAACAAACAGTTTTATAGCAATAAACTCATTTGGGTTCGGCGGAGCCAATAGCCACATGTTGTTACAATGGAACCCAAAAACAAAGATCAATAACGGTGCGCCAAATGATGACTTGCCAAGACTTGTTACTGTATCTGGACGCACTGAAGAATCAGTGAAGTCGTTTTTAAAAGACGTAAGTACGCACAAAGCGTAAACACGTTCTGTTCAATTGAATATAAGATGTGTATATATATATATATGTACGAAGGTAATCCCAAATGTAAGATCTCCAAAGCGCTGAAATTACAGAGAAACTGTTCGCGCGGCTGTTGGTTCCACTGCTGTGTTCGTTGCTTCCCCCAGTACCAAACAAGCCATCGCTCAGCTTGGTAGTCGCTGGGACGCTCAGTCTTGGCTTGGCAGCCTTTTGTAATAAAGCTCTCGCTTGCCGCTACTGCCAGGTGCAAAATTCGCGCAATTATTCGATTTTTGGACGCAAAGGTGTTAAACCTATCAAAAATCATCGCCAATTGACGAAAGTGTATGGAGAGTCGTGCATGGATGTCAAAAATGTCCGCAAGTGGTGTAGGGAGTTTACAGCTGGTCGCACTAAAATTCACGACAAAAAACGAAGCGAGAGACCGTCAACGTTTTTGACATCCATGCACGACTCTTCATACACTTCCTTCAATTGGCGATGAATTTTGATAGGTTTAACGTCTTTTGCATTCAAAAACCGAATATCTGCGCGAACTTTGCACCTGGCGGTAGCGTCAAGCGGGAGCTTTATTACAAACGGTTGCCAAGGCAAGACTGGCGTCCCAGCAAGTTGA